CTGCAAATTACAGCGGCACCTGCCTAAACACTAATGCCCAAAATAAATTTCAAGCAACTGGTGTTGGAATGCATGATCTCGGAATCCACAGATTGTGCGCAATCTTAAGATCGCGCAAGGGTTTCTGCGCGATCTTGAGAGGTTCAGTAGATTACTGTACTTCAGTTATCTACAAAATCATGTACCAGGAATCATTAAGAATGCAAAGAAATCAAAGATCTCCATTTTGCCATGGCAATTAAAGAAATATGGCATTGCAATTTTTTTTTTAACTACCTACTAAATGAAAACCCAAACATTTGAAATGGTGCCGAATACAACCCCTTAAAATCTCATCGTGTGTTTTGGCGTCACTTAAAATCATGCTGCCAGAATTAAAATAATTGGAGAGATATTCTTGTGAAACTCTGAAAAGCACTAGCAAATTTTTAAACAAGTTTTAAAATGCATTTTACTGAATATTGACTCAAAATACAACATTTTTGTTACATCAAATTTATATTCACAATTTGGCTCAAGGGTTTGAAAATTTAACTACACAACATTTAGCTCATTTCTTGAGTGTTAAAAATACAAAAATATAACTGAAGCACTAACCATATGATTGCCCAGACAGCGACAGACCTTGGTCGGACCCGGCCCCAGAAATATAAACTGGTAAAGAAAACCTTGCAATTAAAAGGCTTTTAACATCTATAATAAACTTAATAATATGTAAAGGTGTATTAAAAATTTGTTTACTTTTCACAACAAATAGAAAAACTGAAAATGCAAAGATTGTGCAGAAACCCTTCACGGTCAAGATTCCAATGCAAACCACAATCTTAAGGCCAAGATCACACAACATTTACTTAAGTATCACTACCTTTGGAAATTTAACTCAGTGTAAAGAATCATTTACACAAACATTTGGGCCCATACTAAATATTGATATTACACCACAATAGTAATTTGTTCAAATTCCAACTACTGAACAGAATTTTCAGAAACTGAACATAATTGCACTAAAAGACCACAGACACAACCTACTGGCAGAACAAATACTTCATACATTTCATTTCCTGAATATTACATGGGATATGCATACATTTAGACTGTAGCCAATGAACAGAATCTATGACCACCACCTAACCAGATCCAGAAATTTTGTTAATACTGTACAAAACAAATTTTATCACCTAAATACTACACATTTCAAGATGTAAAAGACTGTAGGAAGAATGGGCAATTTAGAATTAAAAACGTGGTGCTTAATTAACAGTGACTACGAGGAAAGTGAAAACTAATACTATGCTTTGCACACTCACCTATGTATTTTTATTTATCCTGTCTGACACCCTAGTGCTTTGCTATAACTGCTCTTAAGCTGGAGGTGGCATACACACATTTTCAATTGCATTCCTTTTTTGCTACCCATATAGGCTACCATAATTCCTCAACCCTTGCTTGCATTATGCCAAAAAGTATTACTCAATAAAGATGTGTTCAATAACATGCATTCAAACAAATTAGCAAGGGCCCAGCATGCAAGACCAATTGCACTTAGGCACACTAACACTCGTGCAATCAAGCACTCCAAAACATTCATTCACAGACCTACTATTTATGTTCCACTGGTTCAAGAATTGATTGTGATAAAAATGGAATAACCTTGATCTTAAACACTAAATTTCTAAAAATAAAGAGCATGTAACAATATACAATTGGGCAATTATCCTTCATGCTGAGAACTGCTACAAGCTATTTTCTACTAAATTATGATTAAGTTTGTGGTAAGTACAGTACATACTTATCCTCTTACAGTTTACATAGTGTCTAGAATTGTATCTATTCATCACTGAACGAATAACATTCAGCAATTTAAGGTTAAATATTCTTACAAGTTTAATTTTATATCTGAAATAAACAATTAGAAAATGGCAGCTTGCTTAAAAAAACAAATTAAAACATTTAATGTTTAAACTATCTGAATAGAATAGCATCCATCCAGCAATTATCTGGTGCATGTAAAATTAACCCAGACCCCTCTACAGTAGATGCCATATATGGAGAATTGTATTCAGGAAACGTAAATAAAAACTGGTTAATATTTCAGAAGTGTAATGATATTCCCACATGCAGACAGGAAGTCACAACATGATAAAAAATTGTACACCCAACCCACTTTATATTCTATCATGTTAATTTTTTACCACGTTGCCCAGATGCAAAGCTTCATTATATCTTTTTGTTATCCTCTTTCCCCCTAAACTAGACAATTAGAATTTCTGTACATTTCTCAAAGCACTAGCAACGAGATGGGTACCAGTGATGCAATTTTATATTTTTTATCAAATAAAAAGTAAAGATGGTCTTGCCTGTTAGGCACCATTTTGATTATGCAGTTCAGTTTTGTTACCTGTACTAAACAATGGACATTCACTTTAAACACACACACACACACACACACGCTTAACTAACTGCCTGCCTGCCTGCCTCCCCCTTCCCTTCTCCCCTCCTCATGCAGCCCTTGGCAGGTTTAGCCACAAGACACTCAAAGGTTTTCCCCGAGTTGGGGTGGTCTCTTCTCGGTGGCTTAGACGTCCTTCCCTCTCCCTCCAACCTTCCTTACAATTCTGCCTGGACAGTTAACCAATCCATCAGTCCTTGTACTATAAACAGTGCTTGAATTACCTCTGGGGCTAAACAAGGAGGCTTAGTTCAATGCTTAGTAGGTACCAACAGCTGAACAAGATGAGCTGGTTCGAACCAGTTTTAATTTCCAGCCTACGGGAGTAAAAACCATCCTCTGGGCAGGCCCAGACGTAGAGCTTTGGCATGCCATTGGTTGAGGGGTAGGGTACTAGACGATTGGTCGTGAGCCTCGAGGGGGCGGGGGTGTCAGAGTTTCTGATAGGGTTGTGTTTTGCTTGCACTAAAATTATTAGTTTAGGATGTATTTTCATGTCATGTGATTAATAGTTTTCAATTAACTAATTTCTTCATACTAAGTTGGAGTCCCTGAGAGCATTATATGCTGTTGGAAACTTTCCCTGTGATCCTGCATTCATTATATATGTCCCTTTGTCTTTAGTAAGTGAATTAAGTTTTCTGATTACTCCTAGTCCATAAATTCCAAGTTCCCAGACCTTTTCTTCCCATAGGGGTTAAGTGATTCAGTCATACACGTAAAGTAGCAGGGAATGGTGGCAGATTAAGGCAAAGGAGCAGACTGTCCCTATTGATGATAATACATTTAGCACACTTCTGGGTCAAAGTGGACATTGCAAGCTGGTGTTACAAAGTGGTGTCACAACAATCTGGTGTTACACACTCAAGGATGACAAGTTAATCTTCATAATTAGAAACTTTTCATAAGGATGAAAATGAGCTAAATTTACATTAATAGAAAAGGGTGCCTTCTAGTATACTAAATTAAATATAACTAGTATATAAATGGAGAATAGTATGTTTATTACTGAATAGAATACAAAACAATGGACAATGTTTTAAATTTAGGAAAGACCTGCATACATTCTGGTTTGGACAAAGGGTTGTACAATTCTGGAACAAATTACCATGTAACGATAACCAGCATACGATAGCATCGCTGGCATGCTTCAGGTGAAGGTTAGAGATACAAGTAGATAAAATATGAATTTTATCATTTTGGCTAACAGGCCTGTTTTCCCTATTCTTTTTTATTATAAAAGCAGTATTTCTTACTAAATTAAGATGGAAGGGGAAAATCTCTACAAAACTTAAAAAAAGTCTTATAAACATACGACACAAATTGACGGAAGGAATTAGGATTTCTATATTTGTTTAATCTCATTTACCCCCCCCCCCACCATGACTGCCAGTGAAGAATTTCTCAAAATTATGATGTTAAAAGTTATCAGTCTACGTTTATAATAGGAAGAGCCAGAGGACGATTCTTCAAGAACAGAAATGGAGGAAAATAATGGTATGGGTTGCTTGGCCGGGGAGGGTTTCCGGTGGGGGAGGAGGGGGGTCCGGCCGGCCGGCGTCACCCGGGCCTCCTCACGCCAATACAACCTAGTATCAATGCCCTACATTCAGACTAACAAAAAAAAAAAGGCATCATCATTTGCTAGCGTGGTAGAGAGGGGGGCGGCAGTCGGCGTGGAGGCCAGAGGACGCGGCGTGCCTGCGCGGCCGGGCGCGGCGTGCACCACAGCCGGCGCACGCCACCATTACTCACAAACTTACAATCATCCATCTCACACACACACACACACGCTAAACACAAATATTCATCATGGCTCGAGCGTTCACCTTTGGGGAAGACGCAGACGAACACATAGTTCCAGCCTTCATCAGGGGCATGGAGGCGGCCATCCACCAGTCTCACGCCACGCATACCACGACTCTCGGCATGGCGGTACTTGAGGCCGCAGGCGCCGGGGAACTGCGCCACCAACGTCGACAGCAGCAACGTGCCGTCGTCCTCGGTGGGGATCTCGATGGGCTCATCATTCTCTTCTTCGCACACTTGAATGTAACAACTCATGTTGACCATACAGACAACCTCCACTCAAAACCACTCACGCAGCAGAAACACAACACACGTCTGGGTGCAAGGGGGACGCTCAGTGTCGTCGCCTCCTGTCGCCTCGGTTATTTTCGCTCCGTGACGTCACTGGCATTCGGTTCCGCCGGACTGGGCCTATAGCTCTCGCCTACAATTTATTTAATATTTTCTAATAAATGTAACAGATGCCATTTATGTATTGGTTAATTGTATATTTGTGCTAGTTTTTATATATAAATCAATAGGGATTTTACTTCAGGTAGGTATAAAGTCAGCTTCCTAAATATATTTTTTTCTTGAATAAGTAGGTGATTCAGTCGCGTTCAATGATACTAAAGAGAATAACAATTTCTTTTAAATGTTTTTCTGTTATATATAGGAGTATTTAACGCACGAAATAAGCCATATACTCCAAAAACTGGCCTACGTGACCAAACTAGACGGCTGTATCCCAACCCATTCATTGACGTTGACTTCCTAACGAGACACCAGCTCTAAATAACCTTCCCCTGACACCACACAAGGGCTAGAAAGACAAGATAGACGCACAATTAACAAATAATGACTTATATCACCACAAACGTAGGCAAAATGCGTGTGAACGCTTGCTTAAACGAGAGATAAAGTGAAGAGGAAACAGAGGCGTGAGCCGGTGACTGACTTGAGTACATTACGAATGGGGAGGAAGAAAGGCAGAGAGATCCCTCCCATACACTCTCCTCATTTCCCTGCCTCCACACCCTCCAGGTCAGTCCAAACTTGTTACATCTCCCTCACTATTACTCCCCTTTATAATATTATATCAGCTGTACTCGGTGTGTAATATAGAGAGCGTGAGTTACGAGGACAATCTGCAGTTTGTCGCGATTTTGAGGGTTTTCTCCTATCAACTTGAGACACACATTCACCTTATAACCTTTACTGTATGCTTCTATATCGCTGTCACTAGCACCTTAGTCATTTAAAGTGTCATGTATGAACTTTATCTCGATATAACTTGATGTGAAATCTATTTTGCAATCGTTGCTCAATATATATATATCGTCAGAAAAATCCGTGTCGTAATGATAAAAAATATATGCATACGTATATACATGTACAGCTATATATATATATATATATATATATATATATATATATATATATATATATATATATATATATAATATATATATATATATATATATATATACATTTGATACCTAATACATCGGAGGATTGGTAAGTGGACAATGTATATTGTATGACAGAATCTTGTAGCTGAAGTTTATTCCTTAAGAGAATGTATTCTGTATGTCTGAAAGACATACAATTCAACAATGCCGCGCAGGTCTGAATATTTTAAACTTTTCTGGAAATCAAACTTGTGGGCACATGCATACTTGCATGTAAGATATGTATATAAGTAGGCCTTTACATACTTATATTGTGTTATGGTTATCTTTTGACCAATCTATCCACCAGTAGACATACTTATTATTTGGCTCACATGTTTATAACCTGTATTATCGATACGGGCATACTTATCACGAATGTCTGCTTGCTAGATACAGGCATATTGACCACGGATGTCTGCTTGCTTGATACGGGCATATATATTGACCACGAATGGCTGCTTGCTAGATACAGGCATACTGACCACGGATGTCTGCTTGCTAGGTGCAGGCATACTGACCACGAATATCTGCTTGCTAGATACAGGCATACTGATCATGGCTGTCTGCTTGCTAAATTCAGGCATACTAACCAAGTTTGCTTGCTAGGTGCAGGCATTCTTTTCATGGAAGTCTTTCTGGAAGTCTGCATGAAAGACATTCTTGTCCATTTCGTGTTCTGGATGTCTGCTCTAAAGGCATTTTTTTGTCTTGGATGTCTGCTCGAAAGGCATTTTTTGGGGATGTCTGCTCAAAAGGCATTTTGTGTTTTGGATGTCTGCTCGAAAGGCATTTTGTATCTTGGATGTCTGCTTGGAAGGCATCTTGTGTCCAGGATGTCTGCTTGGCAGGCATCTTGTGTCCTGGATGTCTGCTCGGTAGGCACTCGTTGCCCTTGAAGTCTGCTCGGTAGGCATTTCTTGCCCTGGATGTCTGCCCGGTTGGCACTCCCCGCCCGGGACGTCTGCCCGGATGGCACTCCCCGCCCGGGACGTCTGCCCGGATGGCACTCCCCGCCCGGGACGTCTGCCCGGATGGCACTCCCCGCCCGGGACGTCTGCCCGGATGGCACTCCCCGCCCGGGACGTCTGCCCGGAGGGCACTCCCCCGCCCGGGACGTCTGCCCGGAGGGCACTCCCTGCCCGGGACGTCTGCCCGGAGGGCACTCCCCCGCCCGGGACGTCTGCCCGGAGGGCACTCCCCGCCCGGGACGTCTGCCCGGAGGGCACTCCCCGCCCGGGACGTCTGCCCGGAGGGCACTCCCCCGCCCGGGACGTCTGCCCGGAGGGCACTCCCCGCCCGGGACGTCTGCCCGGATGGCACTCCCCGCCCGGGACGTCTGCCCGGATGGCACTCCCCGCCCGGGACGTCTGCCCGGATGGCACTCCCCGCCCGGGACGTCTGCCCGGATGGCACTCCCCGCCCGGGACGTCTGCCCGGATGGCACTCCCCGCCCGGGACGTCTGCCCGGATGGCACTCCCCGCCCGGGACGTCTGCCCGGATGGCACTCCCCGCCCGGGACGTCTGCCCGGATGGCACTCCCCGCCCGGGACGTCTGCCCGGATGGCACTCCCCGCCCGGGACGTCTGCCCGGATGGCACTCCCCGCCCGGGACGTCTGCCCGGATGGCACTCCCCGCCCGGGACGTCTGCCCGGATGGCACTCCCCGCCCGGGACGTCTGCCCGGATGGCACTCCCCGCCCGGGACGTCTGCCCGGATGGCACTCCCCGCCCGGGACGTCTGGCCGGACGGCACTCCCCGCCCGGGACGTCTGGCCGGAGGGCACTCCCCGCCCGGGACGTCTGGCCGGAGGGCACTCCCCGCCCGGGACGTCTGGCCGGACGGCACTCCCCGCCCGGGACGTCTGGCCGGACGGCACTCCCCGCCCGGGACGTCTGGCCGGACGGCACTCCCCGCCCGGGACGTCTGGCCGGACGGCACTCCCCGCCCGGGACGTCTGGCCGGACGGCACTCCCCGCCCGGGACGTCTGGCCGGACGGCACTCCCCGCCCGGGACGTCTGGCCGGACGGCACTCCCCGCCCGGGACGTCCGGCCGGACGGCACTCCCCGCCCGGGACGTCCGGCCGGACGGCACTCCCCGCCCGGGACGTCTGCCCGGATGGCACTCCCCGCCCGGGACGTCTGCCCGGATGGCACTCCCCGCCCGGGATGTTTGCTTGTGCTCATTGACAGGCAATTGACAGACGATAGGACAAAAGATGCTTTTTTACATACAATATACGATAATAAATATTGAATCACTTGCCTGCCTAATGTACCATGACAGTGCTCAAGTTCAAATTACAAGTTCTGGGGAAAACAAATACTTGGGAATAATGAGGGTACAGTAATTTTGACAATAAACACTCCATCCAGTTCATGCTAAGGCTACTAGAGATGATATGGGGTAAATTTAGGTAAATATCCCACCCCCCTAGTGATACAACTACCATCATTACCAACACCAACTCACCACTACCACCACCTTATGAGCTTTATATAGTTTTAATACCTTCATATTCCATCACCAAGAACATTACATGTCTCTTGATAATTATGTGCAATGTACTATTGGTGTTTCACAAGATGCTGTTATTGTATTAAAGTAGATACTCGAGCATCCTCTGTGAAATAAGATTTAATATGTATTTCTGTTATGATATAGTATGATAACGGGATGGTTGAAATAACAGTTCCTTTGTATTTCACAGGTTTGGCATGAATTGCAGTGTTGAATAGCAAGGAACCAGAGCAGTTTCATCATCAGGCAGTGACAAAAACTAAGTTTAGAGAGAAAACAAAAAACATACAGTAGACTACTGTATGTATAGTAATTTATGTAAATATTGTACTGTACTGTACAGTATATATATTATTGAGACAATCTAAATCCTAGGTTTATTGAAAAATGACTATCACCAGTCTTCCTCTCATTGGCCATCTCTATCTCCCATTCCTTTTGACATCTATAATAATTGGAATGATAATCCTAATTTTGTTTGAGAAAAGGAAAAGTGGGAGAAATGATAATGTTTTAAAGAAGAATATTACTCAGGGGAAGTCTGTAAACAATGGAGTGCTTGGTAATTATAATGGAAAATCCACAGCCGATACAAAAACTATAAAATGTCAAGATTCTGAAAATGGTCCAAATAAAATCGGCTCAAAATCAGCTCGGAACTCTATTACAGAGCTTGGAGGCCAAAGTGAAAGTAGTCAGATTATTAGTAATCAAACAAATGATGATAAATCCTGCTCACAAACAGAAGAAAATTCTCAAGATAGTACATCATGTGGTTCAAGCAGCGATGATGATACAGTGAAACCAAGGAAACGTTTGTCTAATGCTCGGAAGAAACACAGCTGTAGTGGTGCGAAGACCTGCTCGGAGAAGAAAAATGTTTCCGAGGTGATCATTGTTACAGATATTGATGAAAATCAAGTCAAGGTATAATTTATATATGAATTTTTTATAGAATTTAATTATACTGTAAATATATTTATATCTGCATCAATTCTGTACTTAATTAATAAGAAAATAAAAATTAACTGACTACTACATTTCATTGAAATTTAATTTTATAATTTAAATATAGTAGTGTATTACATTTTCAGTAATTATATGAATTTAATTACAGTACTGTAATCAAAATGAACTTGATATTATTCCAGGTTGGTTTACAAGATTTTGAAGAAAAATTCAAGACTGGGGGCCTCACCTGTACTATTAGGCCTTCCCTTGAGGCACAACATTCATTATTAAATATGGTAAGAGAGAGTAATGTGTAATTACCTAAGTGTAGTTGCAGAATGAGAGCTATGCTCGTGGTGTCCCATCTTCATCAACTGTTTGTTATATAATGCTTTGAAACTTGATAGAGAGGGAGAAAATTACCTAAGTGTACTTACAGGATGAAAGCTATGCTCGAGGTGTCCAATCTTCTAAGCGCTCTGTCATATACTGTAATGCTTTGAAACTACTGATGGTTTTAGTCTCCATTACGTTCTCATTAAATTTATTCTAACTGTCTACCACTCTGTAAAAGTTAACTTTCTAATATTCTTTCAGCAGCTTTGTTTAGGTAATTATAAAACTATGGCTTCTTGTCCTTGAGGTTCCAGATTTCAGGAATTCATCTTTATAAATTTTGTTGATTCCTTTACTGTTTTGTACCTAGTGATCATATTGCCACATTCTCTTCTACTAGCTTTGGCATATTTAACACCACTAACCTCTCCTCGTAGCTCTTGTCTTTCAGTTTTGGAAGCCATATTGCTGCATATCTTTGCACCTTTTCTAGTTGATGTGCTGCTTGAGATATGGGCACCATACAACAGCTGCATATTCCAACTTTGATCTCACAAAGGTCATGAATAATTTCTTTAATATTTTGCCATCCATGTATTTAAAAGCAATTCTGAAACTGGAAAGGTTAGTATAGGATCCTCACACAATGTTGTTTATATTGTTGTTCTCTGGAATTCTTATTGTCTGGTTCCCTGGAGATTTCATTTTGTACAAACACACTTTGGAACTTTTCATTTAACTTCATTTAACCACTGCATTGCGCCAAACAACAAATGTCGTTTTGAGAGTTGTGTGTTTTTTTTTTATCTTGGGTTATATTTTAATATTTTGAATGTTTTCATCACTCTTTGTGTTTTGAAATGAAAATAGCTGAGTTTGAAAACATTTTGACATTAACTTTACCTGACCATTTATAAAAACAACAAAAATATGTCCTTAACAATTGCACTACGACTTTTTGAAAAAAAAACAGGTGCGCAGTGCAGGAGTTGATCGTTTCATACATTTCCTTTTCATTTTTCGTGAATCTGTTTCCCATTTTCAACCTCTGAATATTATCCTTTATCTGAAATTTGTTGTTTATGAATTTATAGAATAGGCCTGGTTCTGTTTTACATTTGTCCACTATGCCTTTTTCAAAATTTATTTCTGCCTATCTCCTCACTGCCATGCAGTTGTTTCTCGCATCTTTGTATCAAGGGTATGTTTGGGGGTTTGGCCTTTTCCTATGTCGATTCAATTTTTGTGTCTTTTGGTCTCTGGCCCCTCGCACAATTTGTTGAACCAATCCTGTTTCCTAGTTCTGCATCTCTGCTTTGGTATAAATTTTGCTGTGCCTTTATCATATATTTCACAAAACTTGACATACATCTCATTTACTTCATTTCCTAATAGCAAGTCTTTCCAGTCAAATTATTATTGCATGATTGTGCACATAGTTTGATGTTGATCATATTGGGTACAATACACATGATTAATCATTTACCTGCACCTAAAGGGTCAAGAAATAGATGTTAAATGTAAAACATGAATGCAGAATAATTGAGTCTAACCCATTTTTCTTGATTTCTTCTACTACAGGAGCCTGCACAACTAGGCCTTTTCATGGTAACGTCACATGAATATTGTGAAGAGCTGCACAACTCCATTTTAAGGATAAGGGAAAAGAGTGATTGTGTGCCAGCTTTTTTGTACAGTATTTCTTGTATTAAAGAGGCAAGTTCTGAGGAAATTTCTGAGGTGAGACTGAGTTGTTGTTCAACAATATTTCCTTATTTTATGGGTTTTGAAAGCCATAGGTAATAGAACCTTTAATTAATGCATACTGGGATGCAAGATATCTTGGCAACCATTAATTACAATTTCAACTCTACCGTTTTCAAGTTAAATATGATACTATATATCCTGCACTTGTATTTCCTATGTAACACGTGTTTGATTGCATTAAGAATAGAGTACATAAATACTTTTTATTAGTGGAGGAAATTAATATTTCAAAGGACATCAAGATTAACTCAAGGAGGAGGAGTAGATGTAGAGAAAGCTTTATGATGGTGGTGGAAGAATATGTTAGCTTGAAGTAACGAAGGTTATACTTTGCAAAGGCTGAATATGATCGAGTCTGTAATCCTTAATAAATATTTTTCAACAGTCTGCTGAAAGGCTTAATGTGGCACTCTCCGACTTGGGGGGCACCGAGTGGCTACCCCTTACTTACATCACCGACACTGAAGAAATGCAAGATCCTTCTGTATTGTCTATTCACCAGTACATCTCTAAAGTTTTAAATAAAGTCAAGAAAATGTAAGTATTACAAAAAGTAGAGTGAAAATTGTATTTGCCATGACAGTACTGCACTTGTGTGTTCTCCTTTGATAATGCATCACTGCCAGGGCATTAGGTTTACTAATGGGTTTACTAATTAGGTTTACTAATTCTTTCACCCTATGCCCCTGTTACCTAGCAGTAAATTAGGTACCTGGGTGTTAGTCAGCTGTCACGGGCTGCTTCCTGGGGGTGGAGGCCTGGTCGAGGACCGGGCCACGGGGACACTAAAGCCCCAAAATCATCTCAAGATAAGAAGATGGTAAACTAATTACACTGACTCAACCCATCCTCTCCCCTCATGTTTTGCCTTTTTAACACAATCGAGCAATCTCTTTTACGCTACACAATAGCAAAAAAAAAGTAGAGCAACATAATATTGATGTTGCATCAGCCACAATAGGTTAGATGGTTTGCTTGAATTCTTACATTTCTGATTAGGCAAAACAATTGCATTTTCTGCAAAGTGGCATGCATTTAAATTCCAGTATGGGTTGCATCCCTCTAGATATTGCAATATATCTGTGCTTCATTTACCTGCCTTGTTCAGATGTAGGCTGTGCTGCATTTGGCAAAATAAACTGTATGGGTTTAGGTTTCTCCATCGTTTCTCCATCTTCTGATGTGTGGTTTAGTCATTATATCTTCAGCCATGTTATTGTGACTTGTGCTAAATTAATGTATAAAATAAATTAGATGCTCTATTTAACTTTTAAAGGCACTTTAAAGCAATGACTTGGTTTACAGGATCAAACCAAGAATCTCTCTTGATACCACATTCAAATATACTTATCATTTTAGAATTCAATCTAAAAGAAAATGTTTTGTTAAAACCTAACTCCTTCCCGCCCCTCCCCACAAAGAAATATACTGTATATATATTTTTTACAAAAATTTGGTTGGTACCAGATGTCAAGTTGCTACTGTAACATGGGAACTGAGACATCGAGTTGCTAGCAAGTCAACAATGAGGAAATTAACACTATGCCCTACAATTGCTAAAAATGAAGATAGAAATTTTCTACTAGTTGAGTATTGATGACATATAGTACAGCTGCCACTTTACCACAATAAGTCAGATTGTCGGCCAGCAAAGAGAAGAAGGGAATTTAGTGCTACAAGCAGAAAATGAAAGTAGAGCTAAACTCGAGATGAGCAGGGACAGTTCTGATGCAGAGTTCCTGTTCTTCAACAGAAACGTCATCAAATCCCACAAAACCTGTGTAGCATACAGGCAAGATCTGTCAAGTACTGGAACATCTGTAGGTATATCCAAAGGCAAGAATGGAAGTTACTCGTGTTTCCCTTTTTTATATAATCTTTATTGAAGATTAAATGTTAACATTATCTATAAATATGGGAAATTAAACTTGAGGCAGAAAAGGTGGGGCATCAGACTCAAATGGAGAAGATGGGTTAAAGTCTGTTATATAAGATAGGGATAAGATAAGAGTCATCTGACCTGAAACCCAACACCAAAGAGTCTTAGGGCATTCTCAGCACTTGACACATCCATCAGAACCACCATCACTGGAGAAGAGGAGGGGCTGGCCTTGTAGTTCTGTCAAGGCCAGTGCTGAGAGACGGGGTACTGAATGAACTCCTAGCACATGGGGTATAGCAAAAGACAGCTGGTTTTGATGCACAATGAAATACACCTATGTTTCTGGACACTACAGTATCAGAGAACTGAAAAGAAAGGAAATTGTACTAGGACCCAAGTCACTACTGTCCACCACCAGCAAGTAATCTGGTGTTAAGATACAGACACAGACTTATTGATGTGCACACACTTGAAGCAATGCTGTATATAGATACGTATGTAAGAATAGCGTAGTGCAATTGTGCAAATAAGTCTACTTAGTTTCGATCCAAGCCTGCCGACTTGTTCCATGTACAGTGGGAAGAAAAGTGTAAGCATTAAAGGGCCCAGGAATCATGTTGTGAATTGCTTCATATTGTACCCTGATTTTGGCAAAGGTTTTGATACTTTGCCTCACAAAAGACTTTACAAAAGGTAGAGGTGCATGATATTGTGGAGTAGGGAAGTATCTAAAGTTGGATAGGGGCATAGATATTTCCAGGGGAAATGAAGGGTTTGCATAAATTGAGTCAAGTCCGAGTGGTTAACTGTTGCAAGTTGAGTGCCTCGTGCCTGTCCTGGTACTTCTGTTGTTTATATATTAAGGTTTTAAACACAGGATTGAAGCCTTACTTCACATTTTAAATTGCAACCAAGTTCTCCATTGGCAAACTTGAATAATGTATATAAATATTTGTGTAATTTTACAGGCATAAGATAATAAATGTGTTGTTTTTCAACAGGTCAAAGAAGTGCTGTGGAACTTCTTGCAGTTCCAAAAAGGCAGTTGACATAGAAGACTTGGCTGCATCTCTCCTGCCAGCCCCAGTAAAGACATAGTCTGGCTTAGGCGAGGGGCAAAGTGAAACAATACTCAGTTTTGGAGAATAATTGGCTTTGTAATGTTTTTGTTTATCTAAAGGAAAACAAAGGTTCTTGCAATTTAAGTACAGTATACTGTATTTTGTCCTTGGGTAAACGTAACTCTTAACCAGTTACAATATTGCATTGTTTTTTGCAATATTGCATCAAACTTTGTACCATGCATAATTTATTTTGGGTCTATGAGCAAGTAAGTTGTGATATAATGGGACATCTTAACTTTGTAAGTTGACTCAAACCAATATCGGTACATTTTGGTTTTGAAGACTATGAAAGTGATCTCAAGAATGGTATTGTGTGGACACAAGTTCATGGTTGTTATATAGAGGTTGTCTTCATATATTTTCATAAATGCTGGATTTTTTTCATATAAAATCATTGAAAATTGTCTTTTAAGTTATCGCTTCAAGGCACAAAAAAAAAATTATTTTAAGTTTATAATGAAGTAGTTAACTCTGAGATCATCCAGTTGTACTGTTATAGTTTTTATTTAATTTTTTTATTTGGTTTCAGTTTTTAATTTGTAATAATTATCCCACTTTGAAATTGGAAATTTGTTCACGCACAAATATTTAAAAAGTAATGTTTTGCTGAAAAAAAAGATTGACTTGTTATTACATAAATCTCAAGGATTTTTACATTTTTGTTATTCTTCTTATACCATATGTAGTTGTCTTTTGATTTTATAGACAATAATATAATAATTGAATAAAAAGATTTCATTAACAGAACATCGACAGATATTTCAGAGTTGGAGAACACACTACATAGTCGTAAAGTATACCAAAGAATTCATTATATAGGGCAAAGAGTAAGCAGCTTTGAAGTGTAGTAGAATATAAAAGGAAAGTGCTGACACAAAATACAATACAGTAGTAGTTCAGTGAATGGATTTTCTTTGAGAAAATGGGTTAAAATAGACTATACTTTCAGACAATAATTAAACTTAAATTTTTTTGAAGTTACTAAACTACTTTTTGTTAGTGCTCCATCTGTCCTATTGCAATTATATAATTTTATTTTATTTTTTGTTTCCTGCACCCTTACTGGGGTTCACTGGAAATCTTTCTTCAGGACTTTAATAACCCTGTATTTTGTGCCTGTGCTTAGTCATATATTGGCTGCTCTATTCATTTCTATGATAAATTGGTAGGTATTTTCACATATTAGAATGATTTTTCTTGTAATTATTATTTACAATTTAGGTGACATTTATTTTGTCCGTTATCTTAAGAGGAGAGAATTCATCTGCTCCCTGCAAGTTAGCACTTGCAAAAATGTAATTAAAAATTAAACAAATGTAAAAGATGAAATGGAACTGGTCTTTTTTTCTTTTCATTTTTAACTCGAATAAATGGCATTATTCATTGGCATTAAATATACTGTAATTGAAAAATGTTAAATATACAGCACTATATAGCTCGCTGACAAACTGGTTGGTTAAGGTGAAGCATTCCCTCTGATTATACTCAATTAGCACTTGATGGCTCTGATCCAGCACTATGCCTATGGCCTAAATTCCACCACGTTGCTATAAAGTTGTCAATTAAGTACAGTAAATGATACTTTTGAACATAAATTTCATAAGAAATCTAATTTGTAGAAGAAAAAATTATGCTGAAATAAAGAAATACATTGATATTATAAATTAGTCTTAAAAGGTGAATACAATGTAACAATTGTTAGTCCATGAAGCTCCCAAAACCACACGGTTCCTAACCCCAGTCAGTGTGTTTTTATGATACTTAGTGTTTTGGAATAGTGCACCCAAAGGAGGCTTGTGGGGAATCTCCGTGACGATAACCTTGGCATGGGACACATTATACAAGATTATGTGGATTTTTCCCGGATGAAAATTTGTAGTTTCCAAATTATGTTCAGCCAGGTTGTGAATTATCTTGGTACACCCCAGCTCGGCTCAGTGCCGAGCAGTGCCATATGTAGCTTGTGTGTGGTTTTACCGTGGTAGAAGCAAGGTTTGTACCTGTGGATTGTTTATTTGGGTTATCTCGGGTATTTGGGCATTGGATATTTAATCCTGAATCCATAAATAGGGTTTTAGGGAAAACTCATGCGTATATTAGCAATTCTGTGATGCATTTTGGCCAAAAACAGTACCTGTACTGTATACCACATTGAAAGTAATTTTTATTCTTTGTGGTACTCTGGGTGCTCAAAGGTGTTTAAACTTCACTCAGAGTGATTAGGTAAGTTAAAATATAACTGCAGTAGTTTATAAATACAGTGGAGTTCTGCTATAAACATAAATTAATATACTGGTAATGGCAAGCAGGATGCAATGGAAAGATCTTGTTCCAATAGTACAATCTTCGTATGCAGTTGAAATAAAAAACAGTGGAAAGTTTAAAGTGATTATAAAATGTGAAACTGTGTATAAAAGTGCATTTTACTGTTTGCAATAATACAAAAATAATGTTTGGAATCAATTAGCAAAATTCTGAGCAATGGAAATCAGATTGAAGTGCAAATCAGTTTGTTTGAGTGGGAGTCCTCTGTATTTGCAAGCTTACTAAGTGATTCAGTATATTAGTATTCTTATTTATTTTGGTGTCATTAGCCTAAAGTTTAACATTAGTTATAAATTCTTTTAAGCCTACTGTAAAGTTCTAATAAGTTTGATATTTTAATTTTGTGAAAGCACTAGTAGTTTTGCCAATTTTTTAAAAACAAATACCAGTGGATATTTTCTCCTCCAATATACTGCACTTTTCTAAGAACATAATTTTTAATTTAACAGTGAGGTTTGAGTTGCTTAAAAACTGAACTGTGCACTCTTAGGTCACTTTACTCCACCACCATTATCCCATCACAGTCTTTCTGTACCAGTGCATCAGAGTCCACCTACATGTGGTTATACAATGACAAATTGTGAGCTTCCATACACAATATCAGAATTCAAATCAGTCATATTCCTAGGTCTTCTACTCCCTCAGTCTAGAACCACTTGTTCCTTGGAGAAGGGGCTGTGGGGTATTTACTTCCCCTTTCTGTCCGCATGTTTGTTTTGCAAAAAAAAAAAAAACAAGGATGTGTAGAAAGGTTTAAGATTGTCTCAGGAAATATGCACAAATAAACACATGGAAAAAATGAGGGAGAAAGGAGTAAAGACAATAGTTGTAAGGACAGTTGGGAAAATGGACATAACTAATTGGAAGTGCTAATGCAAAAATAACCAAAGAAAAGGGGCCCAACAGTGGGTGAAACAATACCTTTCTTCTCCCCTTGGTAGTGCTTCCATGGATATCACACTAACTAGTTTATTAAGTTCACATTGTCAGCAATAATATCAAATGATTTATGATGATCAGTTAAATTCTACCTCACCTTAATAATGTCTTTATCTTGCAGTCCATACTAGGACTAATGAATGAGTAAATTTGGCAAAACAAAATATTGTACCAGTACAGTACCTGTACTTTAAATAAATGTAAATATACCTACCAACTTTTAATTTCCTTTGATTAATTTGGATTTTATAATCAGACTGCTACATAGCCTTCCTGGCTTGGTGGCTTCTCTGAATTACTTATAATCAGACTACACACTATGATAAATATATTTTACTTAAGCATGTTAAAGAGTGCATTACAATATATAACTTAGCCTATAAATCAAACAAGTGAAAAAATAGCATTACAGGACCCGGCACTGTACGAGTTCAGGGTTTACTTGTATTGTCATGTTCTCTGGAATTGCTACAGTATTATAATTATCTGTTACGCTGTAAAGTTCTCTGGTGTTGTGTTTACCACGTTTCTGATCCACCACATTTAATTTTCTCCGACTGATGTAGTGCACAGAGAACTTCAGATTTGAATGTTTTTCGAGTCATCACATTCTGCTGCCAGAGGTAAGGCCCAGCCGTGTTCATAGGAAGGGTAGTGCTGGACACCACCTTGCATATGCACAATAGTAATAGAGTACAGTAACTATAACCTGGGCCAGAATTCATCAACCATGTGTGCTTTCAATTTCTTTATTATGAACCCCATGGGCGATGGTGGCTTTTGAAATGTATATCTTTCTTCGATCATGGCAGCATAATCTGTATTTATTAAACAGCTTACAAGCATCTAAAGGCTGTGGGGTTGTTTGCAATCCAAGGTTATTATAAATGACCTCACAGCACTTGATTGATCAATCTGTGCCCCTTCCCACTTCCAATTTGGCTTTTGTAAGCATCACGGAAGAACTGACATTAAGGTAGATTTGAAAGTAATTGTTACAGCTTTTCTTTTAAACCTAGAGAAAATACATGAAAACCTAGAAATACTGCATAATATTGTGCCAGTATGAAGCATCTTTCAAGGCAGTTAGGTAAGGCTTTCTTCCTGGTTGCCCTCAGTGATTTCTCCTGACTGGTTTATTTTATGCTTTATGTTGATCGACATTTATTGTGGCAATAAACACTTTTTGCCTTCTTCAGCACTGGCTCCAGCTTACAATCAATAATGTCATCCTGGACTAAAGAGTATGGCCTATGAAAACTTGTGAAACTCTTGTAATTACCTAAGTGTAGTTATTGTTTATTATCAATCTACCCTGGCTTTGCACCCTGAAGAGGCCACTCCAGACCGACAACCAGAGTGCAACTCCATAGTCTCCCGAAACTGATGGATGCCTACTACTACTACTACTACTACTTACAGGATGAGAGCTACACTCATGGTGTTCCATCTTCCCAATACTCTCATGTAATGTTTTGAAACTACTGACGGTTTGGGCTCCACTATCTTCTCGGTTTGTTCCCTCCATCTACCACTCTGTCTGCAGAAGAAAATGTTCTAATTTTTGTGGCACCTCTGTTTTCTTAGCTTGAATCTGCCTCCTCTTGTTCATGAAGTTGCTGGTTTCAGCAGTTCCTGTCAATTTGGTCTATTCCTGCTAGTATTTTGTAAGTGGTGATCATATCGCCTCTCTTCTATCTTCTAGTTTTGGCATGTTTAACACCTAGTCTCTCCTCTTAACTCTTTTTTTTCCAGTTCTGGAAGCCACTTTGTAGCATGCCATTACACCATTTCCAGTCTTGTGTATGATCTTTGATGCCCTACTGTCTTGGTCATGAAATAGCAAACCGAATGCTCTAAGACCCATACCTTACTCAGTTACTAGCATACTTTCTGGGAATAGAAAAAGGAACTACTCAGTTTTACGCACCTTGACAGAATTTTTGATGACTCCAATTGCTTTGGTATCGCTCTTCTTCCCTTTCTACTGACATCCTAAATGATAGCTAGGAGTTCTTTAATAGCTTTATGCTTGCAGATGGAGGCTGTGATATACAAATACTGTAATAATTTTTTTGTTATATTATTTGAATCGGTAAATAAAACAATTTTGATTAAATCAAATATATGTACTATACAAGTATAATAACCAATATAACTCCATTGTCATTGGAGTGTTTTAGGACTAGTATGTGCTAAGCATTACATCGGTTAAAACTTTTATTATTACAAAAAAACAAAAATTGTTTAAAAAGACTATATATATTTTGTAACAAATTACATACCAGAAAATAGTGAAAGGCACAAAGGAATGAAACAAAATTATATAGAGACCTCGAATTGCATAAGAATCACTGACACATTAGTTATGCAATTACCGTAATGATGACAAACTCAGTGCAGTGCTTCGTATAATGTGCACTGGATCTAACACACTAGTAGCATAGGAGCTAAAACAGTCAACCTCCTCATAGCAACAGAAGCCTCCCCACCAAATGGAGGGTCACTCAAAATAAGCGGACTTTTTGTACAAACGACAAACACGTTATTGCATACAACTGAAATAGCTCATGATGTATTGAAAGATTTTTATAAAGAAATAATAAGTACTCAAGGCATAACTATTATGATGAAATGGAAAGGCTAAATATTGATTTGCTGCATAGTACTGTACTGCCAAAAGCTCCAATTTAAGAGATACGGAAAACTAAATTACCAGTCTTACACAAAATTACCACATGAATTTCTAACAATTTACAGTATTACAATGACATCTTAAACAAAACATGGCAAATCATCAAAATTGTTATTAATATTTTCAGATGACTGCTTCATCGATTGAATTTTCAGAGTTTAAGAAAATGACATAGTGAATCATGAAACAGTTTTTGCAGATGATTAGTCCCAATAATGTGACTGAAGATATGATGACCAACCACACATAAGAAAGTGAAGAAATAATGATGTTTTGGGCCATTTTGGATCATTATCAAGTCATGTAACAGAAGAGAGGAAGGTACAGGTAAATATATAAGGAAAGAGTGAGAACAAAGGTGAGGTATCAACCAGGAGCAGGTAAGAGAAAGCTAAGAATAGGATGAAAGATAGAATAAGGTAAGAATAAGATAACGGTAAGAATAAGAGAAAGCTAAGAATAAGAGGAAGGTAAGAATAAGAAAAGGGGTAAGAATAAGAAAAGGGGTAAGAATAAGAAGTGGGGGGGGGGCCAAGCCAGAAGTGGGGGGGGGGGCCAAGCCAGAAGTGGGGGGGGGGGGGGGGCCAAGCCAGAAGTGGGGGAGGGGGGGGCAGATGACATTTGTTACGGTGGTTACAGCATTTTAATATATGTACTGTGAAAGGGAAGAGTCAACAGCAACAAAGCCAGGACTAAGGTTCACGTTGTGTATCAGAGCCAATTCAACAAGACAGCATCTGTGAAGAGTAGAAGCAGGAAAGATTATCTTTTCTTCTGTTACACGACTTTATAGCCAGAGACTTGACAGCCATAATGAACTTGAATAAAACAGTTGCATAAACAAAACAAAATTGCCATAAATTATTTAGAATAAAATCAAAAGTTTAACGCTGACAAATTACTAAATTACCTGTGAGGAAAAAAACCAGGAGAGAGGAGTTTTCAAGATTAATTCGAATGAAAGTAGTGTCCAGAAAATTTCCAACCTACAAAACTGAATACATGCATATTAAATACTGGATACTTAAAGCATGAAAAATAAAAGTATATCACAACAGACCAGCTAAACTGCTAAACCTCCAGTGCATCCTTCAAACTCTTCAGCATGACATATTAGGAACAAAAATAAATATGCAAAGAAAACGAACCTAACAAATTTGCAAGAAGCAACTGGGGTTTCACCAAAATACTGCTTATATTCTGTACTGTAAACATGACCACTTTTATAAAGATTAGTTCATAAAGTAAACTGTATGTGCTTAGCCATAAGAAAATGACAAAAACAACACTAATGCAGACCAATGCTGCTTCTGCAACTGGGATCAAAACTAACATGTGCAGACAAGTCAGAGATGAAACACACTTGCATAATGGCAAACACAACCTTCTTAGGATTTTGTAGATACTTTGGTTATAACTAAATGTGACCACAGTAGCTTATAATGAATGACAAGAAAAACTTGCGCTGCCACAAGATGTCTGTTTACAAATACAGTAAATTGGAGAACTTTAAGAACTATTCAGGCTCTGCAAAGAAACCAAAAGCACAATATCTGAAGAGAATATTAGTTAAATTTATGAGGAAAAATGATGATTTGTAAGTGAATAATTAAAAAAAAAAAAACGCTCACTAAACCACCCATTGGATCTGATGGCTCCAGTAATACCGAGGTTTGACCAGCATAGACACCAGTCCATACAAAATAAAGTTTAACTTGGATGCAAGGTTTACCAAATCAGTTTAATCTAAATAAATATGTAGAAACAATACTAGCAGGTAACAATAATTACAAATAACAACCTATCTATCTACTCTCTCTATACCTTATCCCCAGTGGAGAACGTTCCTTCACAGAAGGTGTGGCCTAAGGTACAAGCTTCCCTAAAATGTTCCAGCATCATTCAGGTATTAAGGAAACACCTTCACACACACACACACACACACACACACACACACACACACACACACACACACACACACACACACACACACACACACACACACAAACCAAAGAGAGACCAAAGAGCCAGAGCTCAACCCCCGCAAGCACAATTAGGTGAGTACACACACACACACACACACACACACACACACACACACAAACCAAAGAGAGACCAAAGAGCCAGAGCTCAACCCCCGCAAGCACAATTAGGTGAGTACACACACACACACACACACACACACATATTGTTGTGTGTGTCTTATGCCATTCATCCACTTGTTCTGTACCACCTCACCCTAAGAGAATATAAGCCTTCGCAAAAGCATGGTAAATTAGTCTTTGAGAATGTAAGGAGTGACCTTGCAAAATGCATCCCTAGGCATCAGACCAAAATAAAGTGTCAAAATGAACTTTGGAGGGCTAATGTTTAAACTTCCCTCGACAGTGAAGAAAAGTATAAAAGATATGAGAAGATTCGTGTTAGAAATCATTAATCTTACCCTTTTGGTCATATTCAACAACAAACACACAAACATTTTATATATTTATATATTTATATATATATATATTTATATATTTATATATATATATTTATATATTTATATAATTTATTTATTTTAGTGTGTAGGCAAGCTTTCAAGGAAGAACATTTCTAAATATAAATAAAGAGATAAGGCATAGCCAAGACAGCTAGATAGACTGGACTGTACTCTTCTGAACACACTACATCTCATCATTGCCATTCACAGAGGCAGACCAGGAAATTAATATACTGTATAATTGACACAAAACAATCAAGTGCTCATAATTATTGGAAGGAAAACAACAAAATATATAAAAAAAAAAAAAAACATTGAAAGACAAAAACACTCCTAATGATACTAACCTTTACCAGAGATATTTTTGCTCAAGAATGTTCTATGGCTGTAGAATGCAAGATCAAGTTACACATTTGAATATTACTAACCATCACCACATGAAATTTAGTTTGATACACATGATAAATCAATTTGAAGCATTCTACAAAAAAAGTTTATACATTTTTTTTATAATGTACTTTGTGTCTCGGTTTGTGGACGTGCTGATATCTGGGCAGAAGTTCCATTTTCAGGCACATTATGTGTGATGTAGAGGAGGTATGTAGAAATTATGAGCAGAGCTGTCAGAAATAGAAGGATGACGGTTGACATGGTGTTGAAGAGGTGGCCGTATTCATAGCGAAGATACCACACCACAACCATCACACAGTACAAGAGGGGTGCCTAGAAGAAACAAAATCAGCTGTGATAAACTGAACACTGTCATGATCAGAGATAATTTAATTCTATATATCTTGCATTTTAAATGTTTTATTCACTCTGGAAATGCCTTTATTTTTTTTTAAGGTTAGAAAGGGATGATTATCAAAATTAATCCCCCAGACATTAGGGCATGGTTACTGAAAAAGAGTACTTCAGTTAACAATTATCTGAAGGGGGCCAAAAGGTGGCGTCCTGAAGCACAACAGCTCCCCCAACTGAGAAACCTCAGCCTTAGGAGTCCTGTATACCCTACCTGGGCCCAGACAGAACCTGGTCCCCCTCACAAAGGCACAGGGATCAGGGAGGGGGGGGGGATTGTTATGATCACCCTCACTGAGAAAACATCCAGAAAGTAAACAAAGGAATACAGACAACTGCAAGGGTCAAGGAAAGAAAGCACTGAAACAGCCAAATGAATCTGCGAACCATTCACTTAGAAACTCTGTTGAGCTCACCTAGTTACGAATGGCCACGAACCGGTGAAAGCACCACCAAGAGCTCCTGACTTCCATGCCACCTTAGCCTCAGTCCTGTTGCTGATATCCTTTCATTTGAAACTCCCAGATTTGCCAGTCGCAGTGTCCCACTTCTTTTCAAGACAAGTGTAGGCCATCTTTTGTGCCATGCTTTTGCAATTAAAAATATATGCTCCCTAACACCACCTAACTCATCATATGTAGCCATGCAATCTGTCAGTCCTTGTATATTTATTCTATAAAGTGTAAAATATTTACCATTTCATGCTCACACCTTTTACAAATATTTATCCTAATTACTAAATTTATTTTATATTGTAAATCTTATAATAACCTAAATGTTTATTGCACATGACTCACTTCTACTGTGAAATCCTCATCAACTTGCATTATCCTGTATACTATTGCTTCTTTGTAACCAATAAAGCTGCCTGTTGGCTGATCTGAATAACAGATGAACCTACCTTTTGTGCGATTGGTATTATTTGGGTTTTCTATTAAATAGATTATGATACGCACAAACATACAATACAGTTTAGTATGTGAAACCAAGATTAACTGATCAATATACAATTGGAAGACCCTACACTACCAATCAATGGCACAGATAACTGGTAAAATAAACAAATTTAAATAAATACACCCAACTCCTGAACCTACACCTCGTGTAAGTTTTTGTCAAGTACCTCATAGGGAAAAACGTAACTTTGTTACACGACCAATAATTGGTACCACTCTTCAGCTTGTATCACTGGCACACACATTGGACGTTTGCCATCCCAGGCTCCTGGTGACCTTTTCTACACACTAAGAACAATTACCTTATCCACCAGCCTTATTCCACCACCAGCTTGTGGGGTAAGATCAACCAACTATTGGGCTAAGCTAATTATCAGGAGAAAGCACTAAGCCTATAGAGCACGTGGAAGGTACGAGGATAAGGATTTGGGATAGGACAGAGGAAAGGAATGGAGCCCATTCAAATAAATGACAAGTCATGAAGCACTAAATCTGCCAATATGCTTTCCAAAGGCACCCTCTATTCACTTTTCAAACCTGGCAAATGCAAGGTTTGAGAGGTTACTCCAGCTATAACTATAGTTATCGGAGCTCTACAATACAATAATGTAATACTGTACTTAATAAAAAAACCAGTATTGAATGTAATGAAACATTTTCTGGGTGAGCCCCGGAGGCTCCCTGAAGCTATCGAGCTAATGTGTGATATATTAGACAGGGGCATTAGTTTGTGGAGTTCATCCTACCAGGGACCTCGAGCCAGAACCTGGCCCCCTTCAGAGGTTTTAGGGAGCAATGACTCTGGAAAACACCCACGGTTGGGGGATTTCCTTATCTGCCAGCGACTGAGGTTAGGCACCCAGAAAGGTAGGCATAACAAAAGACCCCACATGGTAAGAAAATTACAACTAAAAACCAAAAAGAGAGACAGAATTCCCTCCAATCCCAAGGAAACAAGCAAACGTCACACTCGATCGCCGCTCCTCCGTACAGCCCTCCCTCTCCCGAGAGGGGGAGTGGGGAGCTCTGGACCTTCCCGCGCCGGCTACCTAGCACTCCAGTTTGGAAGCCAAGTATCAAACAACACGAAAAACCACTGACCGGAGAGAGGGAGGGAGGGTTGCCAGGGAGCCTCTGGGGCTCACTCAGAAAATAGTATTTCATTAAATTTAATGTTGGTTTTCTGTGGGGAGCTCTTACAGCTCCCTGGAGCTACATGTCCAAAGATAAGGGAAAGAAGGACTTACTCGGGAGGCGGCCACCACAGACTCCTCAACACAAAGTCAAGACAACTGGCTGCAACCAGCAACCCAAAGCAACACAGGAACGTTAACCAAATAACGGGCGGCCAAGACCCTGTTCGACCTCCAAAATCCCAGTGCCCAAATATCAGTCCAGCACATACTGTATTGCCAAACACGGCAGCCAATGTAACAAACTTCCTAATGTCATGGGCAAGAGGATAGACCCTAGGCTGGCTAGACTTAACAACCCTGCAGATGACCTGGGAGACCTGAGCCCTGGAACAGGGAAAGAGGGAAACCGGATCAACCCAAAGCGCATCCCCAGCCACCAAAGCCGAAGCGCACAGACCCCCTTGCCCCATCAACAGGGCGAACTGCAAAAAGGTCGACGCCCCTTACAAGAACCAATCGAGAGCTAGGGTCCGACAGAACTCATGCCACACCCCCAACGAAAAGAATGGGCAGTCTGCCAACCACAAATACTCCGAAACCCCCAAATGCATCTAATACTGTATGGGGAAGAAAAACCGAACTCAAATAAGGACGGAGCCATCATGGAGGTGGAATCTGGGTCTCTCAGGAGGTATGTAGCAAGAGCCTCCCGAACCTCCCTAAGGAAGATATGAGAAGCAGAAAACCTCCGGAAGGACGGGGCTGAAATGAACCCGGGGAGAAGCCGACCCCAAATCATACTCGTACAGAGAAGGGGGGTAAGAAAACCCCTCCCCCTGCAATATCAAGCCCCGTGAAGAGGGCACCAACACCCAAGCGGGCTTGGGCCCCCTTTGACTCCTCCCCAGCCCAGGTATTCCCCAAGTTGGGTCCCGGGGCAGAGCAGTCCTCCATACCTTCCACCTCTGAAGAAAAGGCAGCGTCCAGGGGGAAAGGCAGAAAAGAAGGGGGCCTGCTGATGGGACCCAGAAGCCTTGGAAGAAGGAACCAGCTTGAGTGCGTCCGTTCCCAACCTGCATGGGGCAGCCCCGGAAGCTGCCAGTCTCTCAAAACCCCTATCTAAACCCTGCCCCGACTCCAAAACCCTCAGACGTTTGGAAGCCAGAAGCAGGGATGGTAGGGGTGGGGGGGTGGGAGCAGGGTGAACAACATGGGAAGGACCAGGGAGCACGGACTGAACTAAAGTCGAATCTACTAACACCCCCAGGTCCGGGTCCCCTATAACCAAAGTGAGGCAGCCGTAGGGCATCTGGGTGGAAAACCAACCTAGCGCATTGCAGCAACCTGAACCTAGCATGCAACGCGCATGCTGCCTGTACCCTAACAGTAATGTCATGAGAATAGTACTGGAGAACACGACTCGCAAGACTCCGGGTCAATGGTGTCTTTGACCCAACAGGCAGCATGACGGAGGCAAAAGAGGTAACTGTCACCCTAAGACAAGGGCACACAGCAACCTTTGAACCCGCACGAGGTGGGATGGAACTCTGAAGACGCAAGTGGGGTTGAAGACAACCACACGTGCACTGAGTCTCGACAGGGTTTTCCAGGGCCCGTAGGCCGACTACTACGAGAAGCCCGGACAAGGTGTTAACCGGTTAAGACCCAAAGCTAACGAGGGGGAGATCAAAAACCCTGAAACACAGGGGCCTAGCAGAGTGCCACCAAAATGTCAGAAGTGGAACTATAGCCACACCAGGCAGACCCCCCCCTACCAGGCAAGAAAAACAAAAAACAAAAAACCAAGAAAAACCCTGCAAAAGTACAACGTCCCCAGAGGAAACATTTAACCGGCCGCCGCAAAGGTAGGCAGGCTGCACAACACTTTGACGCCCTAACCAGCATGATACCACTCCCTATCCAAGGCCAAAGAAGGGCCATAAAATCCCAGCTGGCCCCAAGGGCAGGATAAATGCCAAGCAGCAAAAACCCCTACAGAAATGGCATCCCGAACGCACCAGGGAAGAGAACCCTAACACGCAAGGGCAGTACTAACAGGGGTACCTAGGGAAGGATGCCCTTTAGTGCATGCAGCCCCAGTACTGATGAGGACCCCTGGCCACCACACACATCATCATTGCAGAGGTTGCCATGAAGGCAAAACTCTGCCTTTGGAAGTCGAGGCCAAAGACGAGGTCCGCCCCGATCACATCAGCTAACAAACTGGAGTGCTAGGTAGCCGGCGTGGGGAGGTCCGGGGCTCCCCAAGCAGCCCTCCCCTCCCCTCCTCCTCTCGGGAAGGGAAGGGCTGTTTGGATGAGCGGCACAGCGGTGGAGTGTGACATTTGTCTGTTTCCTTGGGACTGGAGGGAGTTCTGCCTCTCTTTTTGTTTTTTTTTGTTGTGATTTTCTTACCATGTTGGGTCTGTTTCATTATGCCTATCTTTCTAGGTGCCTAACCCCAGTCAATGGCATACAAGGAAAACCCCAACCACAGGGGGGGGGGCCATTGCTCCCTGAAACTTCTGAGGGGGCCTGAAACCTCTGGCTCCCTCTTGCCCTGAAACCTCTGAGGGTTCTGGCTCGTGATCCTCGGTAGGCTGAACTCCACAGACTAATGCCCCGGTCTAAAATATCACACATTAGCTCAATAGCTCCAGGGAGCCATAGAGGCTCCCCACAGAAAGTGGGGAAGAAAACATTAATTTAATACACCCATTGCCAAGCAAACCTGCATAGGATAAAAAAATTACCGCATAAATCATGTTAATAATAGTTCTCAGTACAAGTACAGTATGTGTTAAGTAGTGGAGTGTATAAAAGATCATTATTATAGCTACATATACTCTCTTAAATCAATAAAATACTGTATATCAAAGTCTTGGAAACTTGTATATGCTGTTGAGAAATGACTTTAGTAATGATAACACCAGTACAGTGTTTAATACTGTGATGGAATACATGATAAAAGGCGAAGTATCAATACAACTCTTGCCAGGATATTAATAATGAACTGATTACAAGATAATTTAACTAAAAATGCTAGCTGAATTTGAATGTAAATAATATAGTCTTCTCTATAGTGATCCTAACATGGCACTGGGTTATAATTTAAAAACAATTGCTACTTCTCACTATCCCAAGTGTAATTTTTTTTTATCAACAAAAATATAATGTATAATAGTAAAAATAAAATAACTGAATCAGGGCAATAGGATAGCAGCAATTGCAAAAAAATCAAACCAATATGGGGGAAGAAATTATAACAAGCTACTACTGTATTATAATACAGTAACAAGAGGAATATGCCTCCTCACCTACAAACACTTGGTATACATCAGATAATGAGGTGTAACACCAGTGCAAAATCGTTTACCAAAAGTCCTGAGACGTAGGCATCATCTTCATCTTGTGCGGCAAGTCCTCCCGATTGCCCACTGCTTCTGCTGGTATGCTGTGGTTGTGATACATGACAGTGAACCACACAATTCTCAAATAAACCATACTGTGCAAGAGTTGATGTGTCTTGACTCAACAGCTGACCATTGAAAATAAGTCGAATACGCCGATTAGCATCCATTTCTATGGAGAAGTGTTGTCTGCAATAAATGTTAAAACACAATCACACACACTTCATAAATAACTTTTTCTTTTTTTACAAGTGCAACAATTTTTGACTACATAATTGCTATGGCAACAACCACATGTGTACAAAGTGTTAATGATCGACACTAGTGTTTTTGGGCTCATGGATTGGCGACCTGTGCATTTTGTATGTGGTAAATGTTATATTTCTTGACAATAGCACTGTGATTATTTTATTAATAGTTGTAACCATAAAGCCAGGGAGTTGATTTTATTTTGCAAGTGGAAATATGAGGACATTCATTTAACTCATTGGTTCTTAACCTTTTGCCTGAAACGCTGTGCGTGTTAGTGGCTTTACGCATAATGTATGCTAAGCTCTATTTAAAAATCCAACATTCTGTTTGTAACATATTTTGTATGTAAGTACTTTTACCTGAAAAAACATTATTATTATTATCATCATGATCTTTACTGCAGTTTCACCCATTTGGTTCTCAAAATTGATGTTCTTACACAAGTTTATAATGTTAATTTATAATATTTATGATAAAACAGTACAGAAGTTGCTCTCATGTGCCCATTCTTAATTTGTATTTCATTTACCTACTAGTATAGTACTACAAATCTGGGATGTCCCACACATTCACTTTCGCAGAATGGTAGACGGTTGGAACAAGTTAAGTGAGGTGGTGGAGGCCAAAACCGTCAGTAGTTTCAAAGCGTTATATGACAAGAGTGCTGGGAAGACGGGACACCGCGAGAGTAGCTCTCATCCTGTAACTACACTTAGGTAACTACACTCAGGTATTTACATCCAGAGGGGGCCTCTGATACCCCCAGGGAATGTGTGAACACCTCAGGTTAAGAACTACAGCTTTAACTGAGGCTGACTATAGATTCAAAATAAAAGGAGTGTACAATGTTACAAAGCTTATAGTAATATGTAATGATCCTTAATATAGATGCCAAATTTATTTTTCATATAAAAAGTTAAATTATATAGACCAATATTGAGATGTGCTGTGAATGTACTGAAGTGAGGATTAAGTAAGCTAAGTGTATAGTAATTCATGCTTAGCTGCCAATTATATAAATGAATTTCTTAAGAGAAAAGGAATTAAGGAATGTAATATCAGAATAATATTCATTCATATTACATAAGTATTATATACGTTTACATTAAATAGCACAAGAGAAAACTAGAACTACCACAAAGTAGAGAAAAATATAAAACTATCAACTATTGTAGGTGCAAAGTAAAATACAAGATTTAGTAACAATATATTTCTTACCTTTTAAAGGTTCCAACTTGCTCAGTAAGTTTAGCAAATACATATCTTTGGGTTTCATCGAGAAACTTCAAGCGAATTCTTATGCTTCCAGGAGGCCTTATTTCTTCCTCCTTTATGGAAGCACTCGATTCACTAGACAATGTAGTAATATTCTCTTCAGTTTTGATTGAATGACTACACGTTTCATCTAAAGAAGCACCATCTGAAGACTTACATAATTTGTCTTCAGCAGATGTGTGTAGATCTTTAACTTCAAGAAGCTCAGAGGAAATGGTTGTACCAGTACTAGAATGGGCCTCTGAACAAGTAGAACTTTCACCCATAGATATAAACTGCTGCAACCGCCTGTTTCGGACTTCCACATCAGGCACGATGTCTCTCAACTTCTCCAGTGACGATGCATGGGACGGAATAGAAGAATCAGTAGATTGATTTGTGACATTGCTCTCACTTAAGTTTGGTTCTTGACTGAGATTTTGTACCACACCATCCTGGTCTGACTCTGAGACTAATGATGTAGAGCCAACATTTAGATTTTCACTTCTCTGCACTGATTTTTCACTAACTTCCTTTGGCAGTGATAAGCTTATGTTACATGTTTCACTACTTTGACTCCCACCCGCCAATTCTCTACCAGTTCTCTGAGGCACTTCCATATCTTGTTCCTTGGTAACATCAGTGTCCTCACTTTCTTTCATTTGGGATGTTGCTCTTAAACCAGAGGCTTCCCCTTCTATTACACTATTATTGCTACTTTGAGTTTCAGTGGGACTCTGGCCACTGTCACTATGAGTTCGCTCTGTTTCCACTGCGTGTCCACTCTGAAATACTACCACTGCTGTTGCAACTAATGGTTGTTCTCTCACATTTGTTGATAGCCATGCTGCTGCTACGACTAGAGAGACAACCAATATTACAAGGATAGCTGTTACTATATCTTGTATTCCTTCATAGCTTATCATTGTACTGTACTACCGTCAATCAAGGCAAATCACCGTTTTTACTTCACCGTGACCTTGGATTCTGAAAATAAAATAAAATATTTAAGAAAATAACTTGAGAAGGCCTTAAGGGGGCCAGGAAACGGTGCGCTCAATCTTGCTCAAACTTTCTAAAAGTTTTTTGCTTAAACTACATGGTAAAGGCACCAACTTTTTCTAATAGACCATCAATGTAACACACACAAATAATTAAAAAATTAATTAATTTTGAAAATTATACAATTTTAGGTTTCAAATTGGCTTAAAAAATAGTAAATTTCAGAAATTGTTCACTTGACGTTATTATATTCCCAGAATAGCAAATGACCTTCCTTTTATACTTTATAGAACTTAGTTTAGCAGTACAGTTTACTGTAAACAAATTTGTCAATGTGGCATTGAAATAAGCGCCAAAATTTAAAACAAATGTTTATAACTCCGAAAGTTTGGCGTATATCAAAGAAACCAAAAATACATATTGTACAATGGACAACTGTGCACATGTGAAAAAGGTGAGAATCGGTCAGAAACTGGGTTTTTGAGTACGTGTCAAAGTAGAAATTCCAGTTTTAGAGATACAGTAATTGAAGTTGAAGTTATCAACAATGAACATGTAGTTCTAAATAATGAATGTTCTTATATGTTTTAATAAACATTGCTTGGCATTTGTGCTGGAAAATGTGCAAGTTGAAGGGTAATCTAAGTTGAAATGAAGTCAGGAAAAAATAACCCCAAAAAACAAATATAGGGATAAGGATAATGGGTTAATAAGGATAATAAGTATACTTTATATAATTGATAAGGCCCACATTTGGTCCCCATTCATCAACACAACTTAAAGAGAGAATAGTTTGAAATATGCAAATTAAAAAAAAAAAAAAAAAAAAAAAAAGGTCACTTTTGATTAACATGTTGACCAATTTTTGTTCAAATTAAGCCCTCTTAAGGGATCTGAAATATTTTTTAGTTATTAACAGAATGCTTAAGGTAGAATTTTTATAAGGCTGTACTTTCCAAGATGGGTCACTTCTGAACAATGTGCAGAATAATAGTAAAATGCTGATTAAAAGGAACTAGTAATCTCATTAGATATGCAAATAGATGATTACAATTATGTACAATGTGAGGAACTACTAAAAAGGTAGGAAAATAATGTATCCTATTTATAATTCCTCAGCGTTTCATAATCCTGAATAAACATTATTATTATTATTAGTTAATACCATATGCAGTGCAATGGTATGGATATGCCAGTAAAAAATAATTTGTAAGGAAGGCTACCATATTATTCATTGTTCAAAATTAATTGTTCCTTTGACAATCAGACTTCCAGACATCAAAATACCATTGGAGAAGCTTCACAAAGGCCTCTTTCAATAAGTTCTTCGATATATGTCAAAGGAGAGCAGATAACAATGACCAGATGGATAACACAGTCCTGCAGTAAAGAAAATTATGAAAACAAAGGCAGCCAGATGGATAACACATGCAGAAACAAGGCCTATAAAATCATATTTGCCTGGAAGGGAAACTGGGAACGGCCTGAACGGTGAGGGTGCTACAGAAATACAACCTTGAAAACACCTAAAGGGGAAAAATTCCAACAGTGAATTCACCGCAGTCAAAATGGGGTATGTGCAACACAGCCTCAATGGTGGTGCATGAACTCCCATCGAAAAAAGTTTGCAAGCATTCTCTATCAGCTGCAGCCCAATGGAAACAACTAAAAGCCTGGATGCCAAAAACAAATGCACAAGCCAAAACCACATTGAATGTAATGAGATGCCCCTTTCTGGTAAGGGGGGCTGTGACTCCTTGAAGCATCCTTGCACAGATATTTTCCCCCCTTACTGATACATCAGTTTTAAGAGTCCTGTATGGCATACTGGGCACCATAGCCAGAACCTGGTGCCTTTCAGAGGCACAAGGAGTAGGGAATTGTTATGATCACCCTCACCAAGAAAACTTTCAGAAAGTATGTGAAGCAATTCAGACAATGGCATGATTCAAAGAAAGCAAAACACTGAAATTGTTAAATGACTGCAATTGATTCACTTAATCTAACTTTAATCCTCCTAGCTATGACTGGTCACCAGCAAGTGGCCACATCAGCAGAATCTCCCGACTTCCACACTATCTTTGCCTCAGTCCCAGAGTGAGGCATTCTATATTGTAGTATTGCCTCGAAAAGAAACATCAAGAGCCCACCAGAGCAGTCACGGTCAGGGTAGGGACAACTCCAAAACTAGTGCTTAGGGAATAGCTAACCTAAACACATGTAACTTGAGGTGCAGGAAAGATGAAGTCCATGCAACAAGTGAAACTTGAAATGCATCTCTTAAAGCAAATATACAAAATTAGGAACAATAAACAAAGCAAATGGCTCCCACTGAACAGTTCAAAGAATGGCCCACATTTATCTTTGAAAAGGCTGGGGTCCCCCAAGGCCAGAGACTCGGGAAGGTATGCATTCGCAGACATCAGTAAAAAGACCGAGGCAAAGATGGTTCACAAGTTGGAAGTTTCTGATGGTACTGCCACCTGTTGGTGGCATGTAACTAGGCAGGATTTGTGCTAGTTTGCCAGTCGATTATTTGCAGAGTTGATTGGCCATTTCAGTGTTTTTTTTTTAACTTTGCAGTTTTCTGTATTGATTTGCTTAATGTTTGAATGTTTTCTTCGTGAGGGGTAATTATATCAATCCCTAACTCTTTATGCCTCTGTGAGGGGGTCATGTTCTGGCTCTGGTCCCCAGTAGGCCCTACAGGATTCCTATCACTGATGTAGCTCAGTAGGGAGAAGCTATAACAGCAACCTAGCTTCAGCGAGCCATTGTTTGGCTCCTCCAAAAAATTAATGTATGATAGAAATATGGTAAAACTGGGATTCATTTCTTTAGCATTTATACTGTCTTGTTAGGCCCCATTTAGATCATGCAGTTCAGTTTTTGGTCCCATGCTACAGAATGAACAAATTCATTGAACATATGCTGTAAAGAGACAATTGACCCTGACACCCAGGAAATAAAACCGCTCTCCTGAAGTGGTTTAAATTCAATGCTAACGATCTCGGTTCATGCAGGTCGGCGTTCAATCCCCAACCGTCCAAGTGATTGGGCAACATTCCTTCTCCTCGTCCCATCCCAAATCCATATCCTGACCCCTAAGAATATACAGTATTTGGAAGTGCTATATATTCTTAATGGCTTGGCACTTTCCCTTAATAATTCCCTCCCTCTCCTGAAGTAATAAAAAAAAAGAGGTCAGTAGTTCCACCTTGGGGGACCTCGGTATAACACACAAGCTTAATGGATGTATAGTGTGCATGTGGAATAATAATAAACCTCTCAATATACAGTACAGGAATTTGAATACTATTATGTCTAAAACCTGTTTTATTCGGATGGTATACCATTCTCGGGGCAAGGAATCGTGTTCGGCTCTTCGAAAAGAGAATTCCCCTTGCTGAAAGCAAGGATATTTGCATGATCACCCATCCAGTTACTAGCACGACCCAAATCTTTATCCTGACTGACACGGGTCAGGTGGACCAAAGAGCCAAAGCTCAACCCCCGCAAGCACAATTAGGTGAGTACACACGGTCAGTCAATGTGGTGCCTGTGAAACTGCACCAGACCCATATTGATGGGACAGAAGTAAATGCATATACTGTATTATCAGAGCAAATACACCAGAGATGTTGTGCAGAGATAGGAGGAGGAAAAGGGGGGGGGGCATGATTAGCAATAATGCACATGTGAAAATATTTTCCTGAAACTCAACAAATCACTCATTACCAATATTTCCATGCACTTTTCAGTCAGATTCTATAAATCAAGTTTGCCTCCATCTATATTCACTCAATAATAGCAACCCTTTATGGGCGAAATAATTATGAATGTCATGGTAACACAACAACAACAGGTCATCAATGACGGGTAGTCGTCAATGCCGTCCTTTCCCCCTTGGCTGTCAAATGACACCAGCGACATAAAAACCAGCCAGGGGAGTATGTGTAGGGGTTGGAAGGCCAGGGACACGGGGGCAGAGTGGCCAGGGGCCGAGGCCTGCACACCACCACCCACAGGAAGGGGGTGAAAGGGACGACCATACCTGACCTGCCGTCCACCTCCAGTGACCCCGAGTACTGCGGCCACGGACACCACCTGGGGGCGACCCACGGACACTATCACCCTATTACGGACTTACCTGCGTCAGGAAATACACTATATTATAACCCCCTCGTCCTCCCCCCCCCCGTTCAATGGTAAAATAATACAATCGAAGGCCGACCCCATAAAAATCAAAACCACCTCTGAAGCAGGCCATACATATACCCAAATATCCTCGCTTAGCGAAATAACCCCTTTTTTTGCTACCGACACACTTAAATCTTGACGAGCCACGAAAAGGATAGATCAAAATAAATAATAATAATATTATTGACCTCCTTTTGCGAATGGTGTTTGATGAGAGAAAACGGCTCGGGTAATCAGCTGAGTTTTGTTTACCTTGAGAGCAGTGGCAGGAAGGAAGGCGCTGGGAAGGGCCGACCTCTTCCCTCCTCTCTCTCTCTCTCTCTTTTTATCTCTCTCCCCACCCCCTCACACACCACTCTAATGGCTACCTCAATACCCACCGCAGTCTCCGGCTCCTCCAGCACCGTCATCGAGCCGGAAACTCTGCATCTGGGTCCCGAGGAGCAGGTCAGTTCGTATGGTAATTCACAAGGTGGGACTCAAGGAATCTCATCCGCCCGACCTGTGGCCCCTTGTAATGCCTCAGACAGTTGTGTGTTGGGAGTGTTTACTTGGCAGTGGTTGTGTTTACTTGTCAATGACTGTGTTTACTTGTCAATGATTGTGTTTACTTGTCACTGGTTGTGTTTACTTGTCAATGACTGTTTACTTGTCAATGACTGTGTTTACTTGTCAGTGGTTGTGTTTACTTGTCAATTAAAACTGATTGAGATTGATATGTTTAATTGAAATAAGTTAAATACACACAAAGGGATGAGATAGCTCAAGCTATTCTAACCCTATTCTCGGTACAATGTGTTCATATAACATATATTATATATATATAAATGAAAACTCACACCCCAGAAGTGACTCGAACCCATACTCCCAGAAGCAACGCATCTGGTATGTACAAGACGCCTTAATCCACTTGACCATCACGACCGGACTAATAATGAGGTGATAGCCGAGGCTATTTGAACCACCCCACCGCCGGCACTCGGATAGTTATCTTGGGCATAGCATTTTACCAAATCACCTCATTCTTTGGGGCAACACGTGAGGAACACAAATGCGAACAAGCCTGAATGGTCCCCAGGACATATGCAACTGAAAACTCACACCCCAGAAGTGACTCGAACCCATACTCCCAGAAGCAACGCATCTGGTATGTACAAGACGCCTTAATCCACTTGACCATCACGACCGGACTAATAATGAGGTGATAGCCGAGGCTATTTGAACCACCCCACCGCCGGCACTCGGATAGTTATCTTGGGCATAGCATTTTACCAAATCACCTCATTCTTTGGGGCAACACGTGAGGAACACAAATGCGAACAAGCCTGAATGGTCCCCAGGACATATGCAACTGAAAACTCACACCCCAGAAGTGACTCGAACCCATACTCCCAGAAGCAACGCATCTGGTATGTACAAGACGCCTTAATCCACTTGACCATCACGACCGGACTAATAATGAGGTGATAGCCGAGGCTATTTGAACCACCCCACCGCCGGCACTCGGATAGTTATCTTGGGCATAGCATTTTACCAAATCACCTCATTCTTTGGGGCAACACGTGAGGAACACAAATGCGAACAAGCCTGAATGGTCCCCAGGACATATGCAACTGAAAACTCACACCCCAGAAGTGACTCGAACCCATACTCCCAGAAGCAACGCATCTGGTATGTACAAGACGCCTTAATCCACTTGACCATCACGACCGGACTAATAATGAGGTGATAGCCGAGGCTATTTGAACCACCCCACCGCCGGCACTCGGATAGTTATCTTGGGCATAGCATTTTACCAAATCACCTCATTCTTTGGGGCAACACGTGAGGAACACAAATGCGAACAAGCCTGAATGGTCCCCAGGACATATGCAACTGAAAACTCCAGATGTACATACCAGATGCGTTGCTTCTGGGAGTATGGGTTCGAGTCACTTCTGGGGTGTGAGTTTTCAGTTGCATATGTCCTGGGGACCATTCAGGCTTGTTCGCATTATATATATATATATATATATATATATATATATATATATATATATATATATATATATATATATATATATATATATATATATATATAAAACACATCACAAACAATAAGCATATTACCGAACATTCTGAGTGATAAACATATACATTTCTTCCTTTACACATGCAATATGTTACCAGACGTACACTCAAATACTTGTATGACTAGGTACACAGACCATTTGCAATAGTCATGCAGGCAATTCAGCAAAGTTATAATCTTGGTGCAAGAATATCATCAATCTTTTTGTTGTGACACATCCAGGCTACTTGTTCAGGAACAGTCCTTATCTCAGTGTTTCAATATACATTAATCAAGGGACAATCAAGAACATAATGAGTGAGGGTGTGAGACCTTAACATAACACGTAGTTTACACTTCGTGTCAGTCTCATTAACACCTATTCCATTTTCCCAGTAATATTTGAACCCGAGCCTGAGCTGCATGTGTACAGAGTCACTCCAAGCATTTCTTCTTTTACCATTAGTGAAATGGGTGTTTTAACTCGCATATATGTAGTGTTGCATGGTTTGACTTCCCTCATACATTATACCTCTCCTTGCCACTTCTGCATATGCCTGATTATTTCACATTTTGGTTCTTATTTGTCTCATTGTTAAAACACATTTAATGTCAACTTGTGGTTTTGATGTGGCACGTTTGGCCAGGTCATCTGCCACCTCGTTGAGCACTAGTCCAACATGAGATGGGATCCACATGAGTTTCACTTTGTGACCTTTCAGCTGTATCGCGTTTAAACCTTTTCTTACAATCCTCAACTATGGACATGAATACTGTATTGGATTTTGACTGTTTAAAGAATCGAGTGCTCCTCAGCTGTTGACAAATACAAAAACATTTTGTTCGTCTTGACGTACTTCCTCCAAACCAGCCAGAATAGCCTGCAGTTCAGCTTGTGTGGATGATGGTTGTGTTTACTTCTTGATGGTTGCATTTACTTGTTAATGGTTGCGTTTATTCACCAATGGTTGCATTTACTTGTGTTTACTTGTTAATGGTTGCATTGTGAATATTTACCTGTTAATGATTGCATTGGGAATGCTTACTTGCTAATGGTTGCATTGGTTATGGTTGCAGTGGGTGTGTTTTCTTGTTAATGGTTGCACTGGGTGTGTTTACTTGTTTATGGTTGCAGTGGGTGTGTTTGCTTGTTAATGATTGCAGTGGGTGTGTTTGCTTGTTTATGGTTGCAGTGGTTTTGTTTGCTTGTTAATGGTTGCACTGGGTGTTTACTTGTTTATGGTTGCAGTGGGTGTGTTTGCTTGTTTATGGTTGCAGTGGGTGTGTTTGCTTGTTAATGATTGCAGTGGGTGTGTTTGCTTGTTAATGGTTGCAGTGGTTTTGTTTGCTTGTTAATGGTTGCAATGGGTGTGTTTGCTTGTTAATGGTTGCTTTGGAAGAAATATCATCACATATAATTATACTGTATTAGTAATGGTAATGTCTTCCCACAGACAATAATAATATAGGATGACAAGCCACACTTGTGTATTTGTGAATTTATGTAAGAAATTTACACCAAGTCTTTCGCACTCTTCTGAGTGTTTTGTCAAGATCTGAGTGTGTGATTAGGACCAGACTTACATCTCAACGTCTAATCAGATTAGATCAGATTAGTCTCTCGTCCTAATCACACACTCAGACCTTGATAAAGCTCTAGGGAGAGTGTGAAATACTTGGTGTAAATAGCTTACATGAATTTCACAAATACACTGGTGTGGGTTTTTATCCAATATAATTATATGGTACCGTACTATACGTTAGTACTTGAACCCTGTCTGTCATAACAATATACAGTTCCTGTATATGTGTAAGTATCTACTAGGAAAGGGAAATAAAAACTCTGAACGTTTTTCGTGCTTCAATAGATTATCAAGGAATACAGATACTGTATATATATTTTTAGTTATTATATAGTACATACCTGTATATATATATATATATATATATATATATATATATATATATATATATATATATATATATATATATATATATATATATATATATATATATATGTTTTTAATTATTATATAAGAAAATAATTGTTTACGTATTATATGTAAATATGAGTAAAAATGTTTCAATCATTTACTTTAAGAAATTTCAGATATACTTTACATGCTAAAATTTGGAGATATGGTAATTTACATTCTCTTTTATATGTGGTAATTTGGAAATATGTAGGCCTGTGCTGATTGAATTATCAGGTAGGTAATAAGTGAGCACTAAATATTTAAATATTCAGTACCATAAAGTATACTTAACACTTTCATGTTTCGTTTTAATTTTGGACACTCGTCACCACAAGTATTTATAATCTTTCCAGTGTTCTGACCTCAGCTGTTGTGCTACGTCGTTCATTATAGTATCAAATTGTTCGCAATTTAAAGGTGCACATTGTAAAAGTAGTCCCATAATGATCGGATAAAAAATATAATTTTAACAAATATTTAAAATTTTGATGCAACATGGGTCACCAGCGGACATCCGTCAATTTATTTATTGACGCAGATTGCGTCGCTGCCAGACAAAAGTATTAAACATTATGTGCATGCCACCAACACTGTAATAGTCACTAGTAAGTATTGTTTATTCTAAATCACATAGGCTTATGATAGGTGACATATTTTTCGTAAGGTGAATCCATGTACCATCCTTTTCACATGATCAACACAGGATAAGACTTATGCACATTTTAGGGATTTGGTAAGGATTTTTTATGTGAGCTTTGTATCTGCAAATTTCATATACAGTTCACAGGCACAAAATTGAGTCGAGTCAGGCTTATGTCAAAATACAATAGTGTCAATCATATTTATACTTTAAGTACTATACAATGTACTGTATTATCATGTTTCTTTCCATAATGCAGTGCACATGCTAAGCTGTAGTTAGAAATGTTGTTAATGATCCCCTAATTTTTATCTTTTCTGTATTTAAAAATATAATAATCTTTCATAAATCAGATTTTGTGTTTGCGTGCTGTAGTATAGTAATGTTTCATATAGAAGTTCTGTACAATACTGCATGTCGGGCGACTGCTGAACAGTGGATGATGTGCTCATCACTCGGTTAATAATCATTGGGTGCGGCTCAAGTTCAAGTATGTTTATTGAGACAATAAGATACATCTCAAAAGGATAGAGTAGCATAGGCTCTTTCTACCCTCCTCTACTTCAGGTTCCTCAAGGGGCTCACAAATGTGTGTGGCTAGCTACTGTTTGGATGATAGACCAGACAGGCTTACTCTTGACCTCAATAAGCCTTAAAAGCTTCATGTTTGTGAGTGTAACAACCATATATTTACTATACCCACTAGCCATTCACTCAAAGGATCATATTTTGCACACAGGCTTTCAAATGTTTTCTTAAGTCATTGGAAGACAGAAAAGTTAAAGAAGACATGATTACCACATGCAACATTCTAAGGGAAATTGATAAGGTAGAACTATTTAGCACAGGTGGTAATTGAACGAGGGGACAGCAGTGGAAACTGAGTATCGAGGGGACACCAGTGGAAACTGAGTATCCAAATGAGTCAGAGATATTAGAAAGAATTATTTCCATGTCAAAGTAAAGAACAAATCGAATGCATTAGAAGTGAGGGGGAGAAGAAGGAGTGAAGAGAAGAAAAGGGAGAGTAGGGAGAGAATGGCTGGGAGGGAAGGGGAGGGTAGGGAGAGAATGGCTGGGAGGGAAGGGGAGGGTAGGGAGAGAATGGCTGGGAGGGAAGGGGAGGGTAGGGAGAGAATGGCTGGGAGAGAAGGGGAGGGTAGGGAGAGAATGGCTGGGAGGGAAGGGGAGGGTAGGGAGAGAATGGCTGGGAGTGAGAGAATGGGAGAGAGAGAGAATGGAAGGGTGGGAGAGAAGGAAGGAGTGGGAGAGAAGGGAGGGAAAGGAGAGAGGAGAGAAGGGAGTGGTGGAAGAGAAGGGAGGGGAGGGAGAAAAGGGAGGGGAGGGAGGTAGGTAGTTTTCAGGGGAAAGCGCCAAGCCATTACGACTATATAGCACTGGGAAGGGGTCAGAATAAGGATTTGGGATGTTACGAGGGGAAGGAATGGTGCCCAACCACTTGGACGGTCGGGGATTGAACGCTGACCTGCATGAAGCGAGACCGTCGCTCTACCGTCCAGCCCAAGTGGTTGGGTTGGGTAGGGAGGGGAGGGAGAGGGGGAGTAAGAGGAGGGGAGGGAGAGGGGGAGTAAGAGGAGGGGAGGGAGAGGGGGAGTAAGAGGAGGGGAGGGAGAGGGAGAGTAAGAGAGGAGGGAGGGAGAGGGAGAGTAAGAGGGGAGGGGAGGGAGAGGGAGGAGTAAGAGGAGAGGGGATGGAGGGGGGGGAGGTAAGAGGAGGGGAGTGAGGGAGTGAGTGAGAGAGAGAGAGAGGGAAGAGAGAGAGAGGGGGAGAGGGGGGAATCGAGCTACAGATGATAGAGATGGCATACATACACAGACACACACACACACACACACACCCACAAACACACAGATGGAGAAGGGATACATAAACAGTAAGACAAGGATCAGCTATGTTGTGATACTCTGTAGGACAGTTGGGTGTTGCCCAGATGTACACTGATTTATGCTGGAGAAAGTGGGTTAAAGAGTAAGGCAAGGTCAGTGTGACTGCTCAAGGTGAATCTTGTGGATGAAGGGGAGTGCAAGAGTAGGTTAATTTTAGTCAAGGTCACAGGTCAAGTTTGCAATGTGAAGGGTGCAAGTGTTGTTGTTATGAGAGTTTGTGCTCAGATGAATTCGTCGTCAGCTATTCTAGGGTCACCATGCTGAATGGGAATACAGTAATCAATGCCAATATTTGGGCTTTTAGACAAACATTCACTCCATTTTAGGATTTACCAGTCAAGATTCAAGCCAAGAGCAGGTAACAATGTACACATAATGCAAAACATTCTATAAATAGATAGACCAACTACAGTAAAATAAAATTGAGATAGGTCGGGTGTTTGAGAAAATGATTGAACTTCAGTCACAGTGTGTTTGTGTGTGAAGGAGCGTGTGATAGTGCTGATTCTGAATGATGCTGCAGTATGTTATGTGGATAGTATGGAGAATTAATAAGGATTCTTAAGTATCTTTGATCATGTTTTATATTGTTCCTATTTTTTCTGAGCTGATGTTCCCTCCAGCCCACGAGAGCAAGAAATGGGGTAATGATGATTATTTGTGCTCCGGTGAGCACTTAATTTGATATGAAATATTTTGACAAATATTAATTTTCAGGTTTCTAGTGGTGTTGTAAGGCTGAAGTTACACAAGCCAAGAACGAAGAAAGTGAGCTGGACGAATGACACAGTCGACAATGAAAATATGGGAAAGAAGAAATCAAAGTGTAAGTAAAAAAAAAATATTAAATACTGCAGTTCCATTTTTTGGAATTTTATAAGTATATGTAGCAACACATAATAAAACCTTGATAACCATTCAGTCAAAAGTTTCTTTGCTGTGTAAAATAAATAAATTAACAAATTAAACAAGTAGTTTTAGTGAAGAAATAAATGGTGTATTGCATAACAATATCAATCATAACTGTCATATCAACAATATGATCATTCAGCAGATTGACAAAGAAATGCATCTATGAGTTATGAACAACCAGTTATTAAAAGTGGCTTAATATGTAGAAGCTGTGATAAAAAAGCTAACCAAACCTTAAGAATAACCAAACAAACCTTTGACTTTAAGGAAAAGAAAATGGTAATTCGGCTGTTCAACTCTCGAGTATACCCCCATCCCCCCCCCCCCCTTTACCTGTACAACTGTACCCAACCCTAGAGACCTCACCTTTAAAAATATATATCTGCTTTGTAAAAAGGTCAATGAAGAATGAGAAAAAATCATTCCAGAACCAAGTCAACTATTTTACCAGACATAGTTGAGGGTCTTGAAACTAACAATACAAACCAGCCATGACAGGAATGATCTAATCGAGACCTTTAAAATACTGAAACAATTTGAAGATATTTATCTAGATCATTTAAAAAAAAAATATACAGTAATACACACAGTGAGCAACAAACCCCAATGTAAAGCAGAAAAAACTGTAGATGCTTTTTGAGTGCTTTTGTTTAAAATTTAGCTGGAAAAAATTATCAAGAACAATAAAGGCTGTGGGGTTCTAAAACAAGCCTTCAGCATCCAGTCCCTGTTGAAGCCACTAGAGATGGTGGCCCTTGGGTAAAGTCAGGTATTCACCTGTTTATACTAAGGGGAAATGAGCTCCAGCTCATGTGCCATGTCTCTTAACCATTAATCTTCCAATGTGAGTGATTCTCAACTCACAGGTTTTGTCATATTGTATTTATATTAGAATCTACATATGGAGTTTATCAATATTTGTTTACTAATGCATTCCACTTACCCACCACTCTCAAGCTTAGTTTCTTTTTGTTTTTGTTTTTTTATAACTAGCTATTTAGGTCTGTGTTTGTGAACTTCCTCATCCTTGCCACACACCACTTGTATTCCCCCCATCCTGGTCCCACTCCCTCGTCTCTCTCATTTTAGACAGCCAGTTCTGTCCGCATTGTTGATAAATTTGAGTATCTTGTATATCTTGAACATGTATCCTTTGCATCATTATTTTGTCTCCAGCCAATCTTCTGCTTCCTTTCCTTGGCTTTCAGCTACCCTTCCACTAGGTACTAGAACATAAAAGATGCATTGATCACTGGCTCCTACTTTGTGGCTTTGTATTCTCTAGGTCCTCATTGTATTGTGTGACTATCACACGTAGTATGGTATGGTTGGGTGAGGAAGGTCCTCATTATGTCATCCATTAACTTTGCTCTCTACATTTGGTTGATGTACCATGGAGAACTTTTGCTACTCATGGTTAGTGGGTTTTGCACCCTTCCTATTGATATCCCCCAGGGCTCTCTTACATTAATTTTTTTTTTTTTTTTTTTGCAGGGATATTTCTGCACGGGCCCTAAGCCTACAGCTGGCTCATTATGAACTTTACTGCTGTCTTTTTTGTCATGAACACAATATTCTGATCTCACTGTGTCATATTACAGGTTGTTGTGTTTATGTGAAACCACATGAATTCAATGAGAGCAGTTCAGACTCGGATGATGAATGCCAACATTGCTCGGGACATGTAGAAAAGAAGAAAAAACCTCCGCTGCCAGAAGACTCGCAGGGCAATGAAGGTACAGCATTGTGTCAATTGTTATTTCAGGCATGTTTTGTCGTTGCACTTTTAAGATAAATTAGAATTTTTGGGATTCTGTAATGTGTATACAGTATACTGTATTTTTAAGAATATTTGATTGATGAAACTTTCTGATTTGTAAGTTTTTTGAGATGTAGATTTTTTTTATATATTTATATAATAGATTTATTATCCACCAGATACACAATGAATGCAATGACTGATGTACAAAACTTATGAACCTAATTAAAGTTAATCTATGTGCAAGTCCAATTGTAGGTATAAAGTGGAGAGTTGGATCTATCGGTAAGCAGTGGCAGACTAACCTAATGGATTTGGTGACTTGACAACTGATATGAAACATATGGGATCCAGGAATAATCAGCATGCATGCAAATACATATAAATTGCATGCCAATAACATCTGAAATTAAATGGGACGTCCAAATTTAGTGCATGTAGTTAAAATGCAATTGCACACAAACATTTGTACAAGAGGTAGGCATGTACAGCAATGATCACAGATGATAAAAGTGAATGGAAATGTGTTATAGCTTGGCATAGCAAAAAGGCAGGAAATGAGTGACTGTGAGGCACATTGACTTAATGAAGTATGAGCGGCAACATATAGAGATTGGCAGGTACTACGGCAACAATGGCTGTGAACACATGATTTGCTCCATGACTCTAGATTCTTTCATGTGGTTTTGAGAGTTATTGATGTCTTCTGACAAGAGAACTAGGGTCCTTAATATGTATAGATTACTGAAGAAGTATGGTAGTTGATTTGCATTGCCAGTAACGTCTTTGGTATCAGTGAAGTTAACTTGGCAGTAGATCTGTGCAAGGTACACCTCATAAGTGCTCCTGCCCTTGGAATCAAAGAAAGTGACTTTCTCACCTGAGCACTGCTGACAATGAATCTCCTGAGCATTGGTACCTAGCCGACCTCAGTATAAGCCTAACATGTATAAATACATTCTGGCTGCCTGTCCCCTAACACAATGAATTATTATTAATCATATACCTCAACAATTGGAACCTCATGATTCCTTTTCCTCGCAGATTTATTCGGCTCTTCCATACATAAATTATCAGCTGGAATACAACCAGCATTTAAAGTATTGACAAACTAGTGCTGCATGGTTCTAATAGACCCATTGTATGTAGGAAAGCATAATGCATTAAATTTTGAAATACAATAGCATGTAGAGGTAAAAGTTTTAATTAAACTTTAATATATAATTTTTCTTTTCAGAGCCACCAAAGCAGAAGTGAACTTTAAACAGTGACAAATCTGATGACAGGTTGACTTAGATAATAATTGATGTTCTCATGTCATCGTCCTTTACAGTTTGTTGTAAGATAAATGGTAATAGATGAAGTGAGTTGTCATGTTTAGGACTGTACAAGACTATTTTCCATACCAAATACCACTTTACTTGTTTGTGTTAATGTTATTGTTACTAATCCAGTACCTGGGCCAGATGTAGTTCCCAGCAGTTTACATGTAAAGTACAGTATATTCATCATTTTTAGTTTGCAATATGTGGTAAAATTCATAGACCTGAAGCTGGCTTACAGTGATGTACTTTTTTTTTTTTTTTTAATTATGGACATTATTTTCCCTATTGGTAGACTAAAACTACATCAGACATTTCTGGGACGGTACATTTGCAGTACAGTAGTGTTATAATATATATATTATATATATATATAATAAATATATTGTATAACATAAATATGAAGTATATGTAAACCATGTTGGAGTGATTGTCCGCAGCGCTTTACTTTGTGGACTACACCTAATGAAAATAGTCGTGGCTTCCAGGTTGTGGGAAGTGTGTGTGTGTACAGTGCTATAATGGAAGATATTTTTGATAGAAAAGTTATCAGGATGCATTACATAGTTAACGGTTGGTAAGCAAATGCTGTATATAGTTCAGCAGTTATTGGAATAAGTACTTCTAGTTATTTAATACTGGTATTATTGGGACAATTTACCCATATCAAATACTGATACTCTTGCTTTCAAGATACGGTATAGTGCGTGCCTGGCCCACGCACACTCGCCTCTAGAGAATTGTTCCATTTATTGTTTCACCTTTGATTTGGAGCCTTTTATATTTGTTAAGGTTTTCATGTATCATGAATGCTGGTTTGATTTGAACAAATCTTAGCTTAATTTACAGCGGTTTTAAGACTATTTGATGAAATATCATTTCATTTTGGTATGACACATCATCAGGAAAATTATATATATTCAACTTTAATGTTTTATCACGTCTCTTCCTAGTCCTGAATGCAAGTTGCAAATGAAAGAGAAGAAGAACAAACTTTAGTAGAGGTCATCAAATGGGATATTGGTATATATCTTTAGTGTTGTAAGCTTTAACCAGATTTTAAACCACTATAATCTCAGTTACCCTGTTGAGTCTTTTGAACACTAAGATAACACACGAGTCCATGGTACTCAAACTTACAATATAATTGTATACAAGTAAATACTGTACAATAGTATTGGCATCCAATAGTTTAAGATGCAACAAGCATTTGTATTACCAATAATACTCAACGGGAACCACCAAAAATGAATTGAAAAGTTTGGCAACTCTTATCTTGCATGATTTTACACCTTAGTGAAAGTTCTGTGGGGTAGGAAACAGGGAACATTGCTAATTTTAATATTCAAACCGTAATTTTTGTTTTAAGTTTATTTCACTGGTGTGTTTGACACAGTGAAACATAAAAAACATTTACTGTATGTTTGTACCATCCTTCAGTGTTGCTTAAAAGAAAGAATTGCAACATTATTTATATTTATAATCTTATGGTCATGTATACATTTAATTTAAATATAGGTATAAACATTCACACAAAAATTTAAGATCCAGTATCACAATGTTTTTAATGTGTGCAATTGAAATTCAGCTTACATACATTTCTATAATTTAGGATATGTATTCCCACAGTGTAATACCTGTAGTTCAATGGCATTCTTGTTTAACTGAGTATTCAGTTTTGCATGGCTTGTTTTAATAGTTTATTTAATCAGCATTCAGATGATTGCAAGATTTTAAGTGACATACCAAAGCAAAATACATTCATAAAAACATTTCTAGTCTTATGCGCTCCATATTTATTAGTCTAATTGCGACAGTTAAATAAAAAGGCTTGTTATAAGTCTGCTGGAGTAAACAGATAAATTATTATATGCTTTCTCTAAATGAAACTAATAATAATTGTATAAACCTTTTTTTCTTTTATATAAGAAACATGGTAGGAATTTATAATACAACCATATACAAAGCCAAATTCTGCTATGTAGGAGATGGAGCTTCAGTTATTGGCACTCTTCCGTTTAAGAAATATTAATTGTTACAGATTAGGAGATATCCAACTTAATGCAGATGAAACACTTCTGCCCTTTTATTTTTACTCAATATATGCATTTATTAAAGCATTTCATGTTTTACCTTTGTCTGTTTCGTTCTCATTGAAGGATGCATTTTTCATTCCATCCAATTCTTCAGACTAATGCTGTCAATGGCTCTTCTGTATTAATTGTCTTTGAATGTCACGGCTATTTCACCAATCATTGACTATCATTATTTGTCATTACTGAACCACTCTAGGGTTAAGATTAATTTTTCTCACATATGTTCAGTAAGCAATAGTGCTATTCTTACTTGCAGAATAATTAATGTATGTATATATATGTGTGTGTGTGTGTGTATATATATGTATATATACCTTAATGATTCGGCAAGTAAGAATACTGTAGCACTATTGCTTACTGAACACATGTGAGAGAAGATATAATATATCTTTAGTGATCTGCAGCTAGCCATATAACATGAATTTTCAACCCTGTATTAATTTTTCACTTTCTCAGACATTCATTTATAGTACAGTACTGGTATTATGTTTAATTAGCTAAAGTTATCCAAATTTAGTTAAAAAAATTTACCAAAAGACAAATGTACACAGCTTAATGATAAGTAGAAAATAAATTCAATTAAATTTTGGTAAAATGTTAATATAATGCCTGGTTATCCACTTCAGGAATTTTTCAAGCATATTAAAAATAATCAAATTTGATAGAATGGCATTAGATATGCAATATAGCATACAAAAGGAAAATGTTTACATAATTTTTAGTAAATATGAAACTCAGGCCCATGGCCAAGCTAAAACTATGGATTTTTTTTGCATTAGAGTTGCTATCTTGTGCCTATGAGCTTCCAAGAATTATTCATAAATATGGTACAATAAACAATCTGAATTTCTCTTTTTTCCTATTTTTATGAATACAGTATTATTGTTATAACATTTGCAAGCACTTTACACACTGAATTGTTTTGAGGATTATTTAGCACTGTGCAGCGCTAGAGTTGTACTCCCTCCCCCTCTCCAGGGTTGGCGAGACACTTGGGATGTTGATGAGATACACACTGCATTGTACTCTGTTATGATCATAGTGTGAACTATTACTTTAAAATGCACCAGTACTTTGTACATTAATTTGTTATACTGCATTTATAAATACTTTTCAACAATTATCACACACAGTACTGTAAATAATACTAATGACCGTTTAAATATTTTTTAGAAACGTACATATACAAATTAAACCTTTAGGATTCTTGTATACTGGCAAACTGCTACAAAGATTTTTTCTTGCCATGTTTAATCTTTCTACTATGTGGACAGGATGAGACTTTTTCCAGTGGAATGGGAAAGCAGCTACTTTCACTATGATTTTATTGGTGTGATATGATAAGATTTGGATGCAGAGAAAGGAAAGTAATATTACAAGTATAGGGGTACCTCGGTTTAAGAATTTAATCTGTTCCTAGAGATGGTTTGTAAACTGAAGTGAATTTCCCCATAAGAAATAATGGGAAATGAATTAATCTGTTCCTGACTCCCCAAAAACTTCACTTCAAAGTAAATTTTATACCTAATTCACCCAAATCTTCACTACAAAAGTATGTTCAAGTTATTACTTACCCTTGCTGATGACTCCAGTTGGCGTATGGAAGATGGAGAGGAGGAGAGGTGTTACTGTTTGAAAGGGTAGTCCCCTTCCATTATAACATCAGGCAGTGAAGATTTCTCTAGAGTGCACACTCGAGCACGTTTTGCCTGCATACCACTTAGGTCCTGGTTGTGGCTCACTACTTGATTTTCTCACTTTTCTCACAAGAAAATGTTCCATTGAAGAGTGTTTTTCCCCTTCTTTGCAACACTTGTCTGTAGTGAGGCATCACATTGTCATTAAAAAGGCCAATGCAATGGCCTACTACAGCTTTAACTGGATGATTCTTTTCAGCAAAATTTTGCAGTCCTTCCCATACTGCACACATTTTCTTAATTAATGAGGAAGGGACATTCTCTACTGCCTCTCTTCCCCCCCATGAAGATTTGTTGTACTGCCTAGCTAGTTCAACAACACTAGTACCATTTTCATGCTTACGAATGATCTCTTGTTTTTCCTCTATGGTCATTCTCACATGTGATTTCTTGCTTTGAACCTTACCACTGGCTTTCTTGGGACCCATGGAGACATAAATAATAACTTTTATGCTCAAATGGGCAAAAATCTGACAAAAAACTAAATTCTTGTGAAGAATTTAGGCGGGATAGTCACTGGGCGCGAGGCACTGGTAAACTGAGGCGCAATCGCCGTGCCACCACATGCTAGGTCGGCCGTACACATATCAACAAACTTGCATCCCAATGCAAAGTTCATATCCTGATTCAAATTTTCCGAACAAATCAGACTCGTAAGCCGAAAAGTTCCTAAACAGGGACATTCGTAACCCGAGGTACCACTGTACATCCACAATTTCAAAGTCAAATTTATATTTGGGTATGCTAACATTAGCAAATTGTTAAAATTTTATGTTGTAAACTGCAATTTTTTTTCATTCGTATTAAATGGGATCTATCTCTTTAATCTTTCTCCTGGAACAAACATGAAGTGAAGAAACAGCTTTGGCTCTGTTATATATTGGCCACAAAAGATTACCTCTTGAACACTTGGATCAAATTTGCACCTTATTGTCAGAACTGAATTGATGACACAATGCAGTTCAACAGTTTGGTAGTTTATAGCTGTTCAACTCTTCATAGAATGTCCTGTGATTTGGGGAATTAGAATTGTTTTCCTATTACTCCTTCTAATTGTATGTGTTGACACAATCCTCTCTGAATCTGACTCCTTTGACATTGCTTGTCTTTCTGCTCTCATACTGTGCAATGTAGCCTTCCAGGCTTGACATTTTTTTATAATTACTCATTACACTGTTAAATCTATGTCCAGTTATCACAGTCATTATGAAAGAAAAATTAAGTAGCAGCACCTAGTAACCATAATGCACCCACACAAATTTCAATTGAATGAATACCACTTCCAAGCAAGCAAGCAAACCTTCCCAAGCAGCCCCAGCTGCTTGGGAAGAAGGTTTTGGGGTAAATCCTTACCTGTTGTTGGTCACGGTAGATTCCCGGGTCATTGCACTTTCCTCGGCTTTCATTCCTTCTGGTTGGCATTGTTCTTGTTCGCTGTGGAGGAGTGTGTTGGCTCTGCATTGATCTTTTGTGCTGGTCCTTTCAGAGGTCACCCCATTGATGGTGCAGTGGGAGGAAAACCTGGCCTGGTTTGCCAACTATTGTTCGTACGATGTAGCCTTCATGGGGTCGTGTCCTGGGGCATTCAGTGGAGTTGGTCTCTAACCCCCATCCTGTGGCATCATGGGTTCAGGGCAAGCAGTCTGCTTCATAGCTCCTCTTGGTCATCATAGTGTGGTTGGATTTTGGGAGTGGTCATATTAACCCCTTGCTCTGCAGTGTTCTGATTGTTTCCAGCCTCCAAGCAGGACTCGCCAGATCTACGGTACATTCTCGACTTCTGGGTTTGAATTGCTTCACTCCCTATCGAACTAAGCATGACCACCTTAGCTCAGGTCTACCTGGTATTTCATGTGGGTTTCTGGATGGTGTTCCTGGGCCTATGGGATGCCTATTGGCATGTTCCTATTCATCCTTGGTTGAAGGACTGGTTAGGTTTTGTGGTGGGGTGTCAGGCTTACCGTTTCCATGTCGTCCTGTTTGGCTTGAATCTAGCTTCCCGGATGTTTACTAAGTTGGCATTGTAGTGGTTCATTGCCTTCTGTTGTCAGGGGTTCATGTCTTAGCCTAAATCAACAACTGGCTGCTATGGGCTCCTATCCAGTCTGCAACCCGTTCTCACACAAGACAGCACATATATGACTTAATCCTTAAAGTCAATATGTTGAATGTGATTTAGTACATAAGTGATATATTCCCAGTTACCTTTTTTACCAAGGCCCAAACTCTTCCTCACGTACCAATTTACGTCTCACAGTACCCGTCCATCAACGTAGATAGCAGAATAGTCGTGATTGGTTCAATTATAATGAAAATTGTAGTTTTCAGGTCCCACATGGGTTGTGAAATTTACCTTCTATTGTCCAAAGATGGACTTTATTTAGCTCAGTATTTACTGTGGCATTTAGAGCAAGGGGGTCAGGACTGAAGTAAATGAAGGTTGTGTCGTCAGCAAATAGAATTGGTTTGAGGTGTTGGGAGGCATTTGGAAGGTCATTAATGTAGATGAGAAAGAGGAGAGGGAGGAGATACCTTTGCATCTCCTTTGTATATATAGTATTATACCTTTGCAATAATGTACCAATGTGTGTATTTTCATAACCCATTTTAAATACTTGAAAAATATCTAACTACATAGTGAATGCAAGTCAATGTATATTTATATATTTATTTATTTATTTATATACAAGAAGGTACATTGGGTTAGAGAGAATACATAGCATAGTATTTGCAATCTTGTAAAGCCACTAGTACGCGCAGGGTTTCGGGCAGGTCCTTAATCTAACAGATAATTTTAAGTAGGTAAATTCTAGCAGAATTAATAAAATAACAGATACATTGCAAGAAAAAAAATGAGATGAGAGAGAATAGTAAGTATATTAAAGCACATTGGTATATTAAAGCTCTGGTTGATTACATTGACAACTTGATTGGTAATTTAAACAAGATTAACAGACACCATTCAGCAGACTGATAGCACATATAAGAAGACAGCAATGATCACAATGGTAAAGATGTTCGGATTGGGTACATAAAGATAGGGAGATTGGGTAGCAATAGATACAGTGCAATTTTAAAGCAACAAGGTAAAAAAAACTATGCAGGTGAGATTAGGTACTTTTTAGTTTTGTTTTTGAATTCATTAGGGAGTGAGTTCCATAGACTGGGTCCGTTTATTTGCATAGAGTGTTTACACAGATTATGTTTGACTCTGGGGATATCAAAGAGATATTTATTTCTGGTGTGGTGATAATGGGTCCTATTACATCTGTCCAAGGAAAGTTTCAGAGCAGGATTTGCGTTTAAGAACAGGGTTTTTTAAATGTAATTGACACAAGAAAATTTGTGGAGTGAGATTATGTTTAGCATGTTAAGGGAGTTAAACAAGGGGGCTGAGTGTTGTCTGAAAGTAGAATTTGTTATTATTCTGATAGCAGATTTTTGCTCGATGATGATGGACTTGAGGTGGTTTGCAGTGGTTGAACACCATGCACAGATACCATAATTAAGATAGGGATAGATTAGTAAACAATATGTAGAGATGAGAGCAGAGTTAGGTACATAATATCAGATGTTCAGATGTTTATTCAGGTAAGGTATATACATACAAGTGATGTTACATTAATGGATTGATATATAGATAGAGCTAGTACATACAATGCCTAAAGCCACTATTACGCAATGCGTTTCGGGCAAGAAAAACATTAATATCTAGAACTTAATACTAATTGAGCATAAAGAATAAAAGATGTTGAGAACAAATACAAATAAAGATAAAAAAAAAGGGGGAACATGACTGAAAAAGCAGCACAAATACAATAGGTTGACAAACAGTGTTGATTAAAAAAAAAGAAAAAAAAGAAAATAACAGACATGGGTTGACAATAGAGGAGTGAGGTAGATTACAGGGAATTTATTAGGTAGTGTTTAGTTTTTATCTTAAACTGGTTGAGAGAGGTACAGTCTTTAACATGGTTGGGAAGGTCATTCCACATTCTGGGCCCCTTGATTTGCAGAGCATTTCTAGTTTGATTAAGACGTACTCTAGGAATATCAAAACTGTATTTATTTCTGGTGTGGTGCTCATGGGTTCTGTTACAACCTTCTATGAAGCTTTTAAGATCAGGATTGGCATTATAGTTTAGCGTTTTA